AAGATATTAATTATTTTAAACCATCATGTGTTACTATATTCGTTAGGAAATAATCCGCTAATAACATCTACCTAAGTTAATAGCATACTTAGATTTTCCTAATGCTGTCATATAGGTAGAAATAACAATAATAGGCTTCTACGAGTCTTTGCATGTATTTGTTCTATACTGAGAAATTTCTTAACGTAACTTTTGCAAGAAACTATTGATTTCTCCAACATTATATGTAAAGTGGTATCATAGGATCACCTAATCCTGGTAATGTCATCAGAGTAAAAATATAAATTTCAGAGGATAATGGTTCGAAACTAGATAATATATATATAATCATCATTAATTCAAGGATTTAGATATATTTATTCAAAAGAATGGAGATATAATACTTTTGGAAAGATGTCATTGGACGAAAAAAAATTAAATAAAGATGTTTAGAAAATAAATAAAAGTTTTATGGAAAGATTGTTTGTGTATTTGATAGGCTTAACTTTCAAAGATAATATTTTAAGACATTCTGAAACTTTTAAACTGGGCATTAAAACAAGTTAATGTTCATTGCAAAGTTAAATGGAAAAGGAATTAAATTATCACACATTAGGTATAATTTCAGTGTTTCATTTTAATAGTTGTGAAGATTATTTTTAGAAATTTAGATGATTATATAATTTTTTTACCTCAATATAATGGATTGTAAGCAATTTATTAAATATTTTTATGAAATTGATTATAATTGTTTTATTAAGTGTGATAATTAAATAGATATTCTTAAAAAAATATGTAGTAAACTCAAACATGGTCTTATCTACTATTTTATTTGGATTTATCCCCAATAAATTTTTAGAGGTCTCTAGACTTATTATTTTGTAGATCTTTGGGTATATTATATATTTTTTTAAATAATTTAGGATTTTCACTTATTTTCTAATGTCTTTAAATTGTAGTTATTTTCAAATGCATTTAACTTCTAATTTTTCTTTCAAATTCTTCTATATAGTGGTATATAATATATAATATTTTTGAGGGAGGAGGGGGCGGTGAGTGTTTAATTTTTAGCTTAAAATTATATTTACGAGAAAAGTAATTTTCTATTGAAAGGGAGACTTTCTTTTCCCGTTACACGCATGTACAAATATTGTGTACGCATGTCAAGCTTCATCAGATGTAAAGATGTTTAGCTACCATTTCTACGCTCCATCAAATATACACATGTCAAGGGTGCTCATTATTCTCATAAACAGATATATATTTGATTAAAGGATTTTATGATTTACAAGAGAAATATACCTTTAGTTTATGTTCCTACTCCACTACAAGCCATAGGAATAGCTTTCCCGAAATCTTATCTAAAATTTAAAAAGAAACTAAATTATTAAATTATATCGTGCATTTCTTTTATTTGACCCTATATAATATTATTTGTAAGAGTTAAAATTGTTTAGAAACAACGCTGATATTACCTATCTTGTCAAATATTCGAGATTAAAAAAATTAAAATACATGCACATGCATATTCTATTATCTTAGAATGACGTCTAGGTTAAAATAATTACTGTATATTTAACCCCTAGTCTGAAATCTTTTATTTAAGCTTAATCTTATGGTCGAATCCGATATTTTTGAATATCTGTGTTTTCAAATACGCGTTTTACTTTAATTACTATTAAATTTAATTCAATTTCAGTAAAGTCATATGATAATTCACATCAATTACTAATCCTTTTTAAGTCACAATATAACAATAATTAATTAATACATATATACAAAAGACACTACAAATGGGAGAAGAATTATAGACATGGTCAAAATAATCATGACTACGACTAGTTTTTAAAATAGATTAAGTAGGAAAATAACTATCAAATTTTAAGTTTATGACTTATTTTAACATCAATATTAAAATTTTATAATCATTTATAAAGACCATAATAATAGTATCAACAATCAAAAAATTATAATCAAATTTTAAAGATGATGTTTTAAATCAACATTTTTAAATTTTCAACCATTTTTTATATTAAATTTTTTTTAAACTAATTTAATATTTATAACTTTGAATAAGAATTGCCCCAATTTACACTTATCTCATTTATTTCAAGGCACACCTTTTATTATATTAATGACTTGCAACAAAAAATATGAATTAATATTTTTCAATGCAACGAAAAGCTTTTGTATAGAAACGAAGACTTTCACATTATTTCTTAGAGCGTTCTATGACACTTGTCGATTCACCGTTTTTGTTCATTTCTATAAATTTACCAACTTGTGAGCGCTACTTTTTTTATTAGCAGTAGTTTAGTGCGCCATTTTAAAAAAAATAGCGATAGCTGTTGCTCGTTACTTTCAATTTTGTATAATAAAGACACGTATAAATTTCTAAAATTATCATCTTTTTAATTAATTTAATTTTGAAATTTAAATTTATATTTAAAAATTGCATTATAAATCTAGTTTTCAAAATAATTTAAAACTATAGAGATTGAAATTGAAAATAATTTTGGTACAGATCATATCGACAAAGTAATTTCTCTGAATGATTAATAAGGAATTTCCTTTTCCTGGATAAACATTTTAATCTCGATAAAAAAAATAACACTGGGTATAAATTTTATTGAAAGATGTGCTGGAAGGTAGATTTTATCATAAAACAAGAGTAGTAGCCTCAACGATGGAACATTTAAAAGTAATATATTAAACAAATTTAATATCAAAGAATAGTACAATCCCTAATCTTTAAAACGAAATTTGAATCAAAGCTATAACTATAATAGGTTTTGACTTAGATGAGCTTATGTGAAAGTTAATTTTCTGGCCGTCCAAACATGGTATGTTTCAACTGGTTATAAGATATTATTCAAAATGTTATTAAAAATTAAAAATTACAATAAATGATTAATTTTAACATTCATTTTGTCATCAAATATATAATTTATAATTATTATGGATGTTTTAAACATGCTTAAAAAACCAATCGTCTATTTATATATTTACAAATTTTATCAAAACATGCTAAAATTATTTATTTCAATCTTTTTGTATTTTTACCAATTTTGAGAGCAATCATAAAAAAATTAAAGGGTGGTGGTGACTAGTTGGTAAATATGGTCATCCACTAATCTCCTACATATTTATTATTTCAACTATTACTATTATAACTTTAGACTGGCTTTAGACAGATAAAAAAAACGCCAATAATTATGGATGAGTTTTTTTAAATAATAATATGAAAATCATAGACACATTTTTTTTTAAATCTAAAAATACTCAAATGAATAATTTTTACGATTGTTGAACTATTATTAAACCATAGCTAGTGTTGTTAAACGGCTCAATTTGAGCTGATTTTTAAAAACGGCAAACACAATAAAAAAAAATATTAAACATGCCTAAAGATTTTGTAGATGGCACCGGACATCCATTAACTAAATCTCGAGACGTAATCAATATTTTCTGGCTAAAATATAGTTAGCCGCATCTTATACTTTTTGATCGTCGCTCTAGACTTAGGAATGACATTATAGAAATCTTATTATTTATTGAGATGCCATTAAAAATAAATACTTATATATATTTGAAATTTTAGTCATATTTTTTATTTGTGGAAATAAGTAATAAAATATTTTTAAAATAAATTCTAAAGTAGCGTAAAAAGTAGTCTTAGCTACTGTTTTTTAAAGTAACTAATTGCGTGCTACTTTTTTGAAAACGCTCTGCTGTAGAGATAAAGCGCTACTTATAAAAAGTAGCTTTTAATAACAATGCTTTTGTTCCATTTCCTTGGTAAAAATTTGTATTCAAAAAATATTTTTATTGTAAAAAATATGAAATATAATATTTTGAATGAAATAAGTTATAACAGTTTTAAAACGACAACTTCCGCCTTTTCTCATCTCCAAGGGCAATAATAAAAAACAATATCTCAGATAACGATTCCCAGAGAACTTCTTTTATTTCCAGTAACCTTTTCAACCTAATTTAAAATATCATCAATTTTTACAAAGTTTATAATTCTAGTGTTTATTATTAGCACTAAACGTCTTTTTTAAATCATACCTAAAACGATCCCCAAAGATGACAAGATGATGTGCCAGCAGCAATCCATATTATCATATATATTATGAACATGTGATTATAAACATGTAATGTTTGAGAAAGATATAAATGTTTGTATGTATGATTATGATATAATAAACAAGATTATATCATTATTATGCTATATTAAATCACGAAATATTGTAGCAAATTTTCTCTAGCAATAAGATGATGTAAAAATATTTCTTAAATGTATAAATTAATTTATGGCTAATGATATATTACCATTTGGGAATTCTTAACTAAATTATCAAACAACGACCAAATATATTATTAATCAATTTTTTAATATAAATTTAACCCGGGCCATAAATATATTTGGAGCAATTTACCCTGCTCGAAAATCCTTTATTCCCGCTCGGCTCAGCGGAGGACTTCAGGTCCAGAGGGGCTGCGTCGATATCGAATAAAAATATCTCACTCTAACACTATGAGCCATCACTCCATTCAAAAATCTATATTTTTTGTATATCATGGCAATTCTCCAAGTATATTATAAATTTATAGAAAGTCGTTTTTATTACATGCCTGTCGACTAGCATTAGCATAAATTTATCCTTTTCCACTTTTTAAATTTTTATGATTTTACAAAAAATATAACAATTTAATATTTCGCTCATGAACCTAAATATAAACTTAAATATTTTATACTAATTGCGCCAATATGCTGGCATAGGTTTTTATATTATAATCTTTTTATAGATGTTTTTGGTAAATCTAAATTATAACTTTAATCTTTTTCATGATAATGGGAAGGATATCATAAAACAATACAATATACATATCGGCGTAATTTTATTTAATAACATGATATTAATTTGTACAAGTAATACAATTTAAGAATTCATAATAACCTATTGTGTCGTATCATATTCGCTAACAAATTTTGGTTAGTATAATAAATAATTCTATTACCAAAACCAAGACCAATAGGAACCTTTACAGCTGTTAGGTGATGAACTGTCTCTACATTTATTGAAACTCCCATTTACATTGTTATCTGAGTTGAAAAACATTTTGATCACTAGATAACCGATGACATAACTAGTTATTATGAGAAATCCCATTGCATTAACTATGTTCCAAACTTTAATCATAAACAATTGACTCTTGATGCTCTTCATTTTGATGTCATTAATATGAGTCTTCTCAAGCTCTTCTTTCAACATTTGTAAATTATCTTTCTCTTGTTTTAAAAGTTTGTATTCTTGCTCCAACAAGAACATATCCTGGTAATTGATAGGGCAAACAGGATCTAATTTTGTAAATATTTTATTAATTTATAAACAAGTAAATAAAAATTTAAAACCCGGAGCCTAAATTTATGCTCTGAAAAATGTTTCTCAACCTTTATTTTATTGGATAGATATGTAAGTTCAAAAGAATCTCTAACAATTCAATTGGCCTGATGAAATTACTAAGTGGATTATTATGGTTCCATGTCAATTCAGCGAAACTTTTATAGAGCATACTATTCTGCGAAGACTATTTCGCGAATGTTTATTATGGAAAATGAATTTTACATGAAAATTTTTACCGCAAATCTATATTCGCGGCAAAAATTTTATAATGAAGTTATTATGCGAAATCTAAATGGCGAAGACAATATAGCGAAAACTATTTCGAATTTTTTGGGTAAAAACGAGGCAAAATATCCTCTCCACACTTAGGACCATGAATGAGAATGTATTAATCGCAAAGTACTCGCGATGGTTAATTCACGACAACTAATTCGCGTGCGATGAACGACATTCGAGATAAAAGTTTGACTTAATTTTTCAGATAGGGATTATTGTGCTTTAACCCTTATTTTTAAATATTTCTGAACTTTATAATTAAAATTAAAATATCAATAATGCGAGACCTTCTTTAATATTTGATATGCTTGATTGGACCTGTAAAGGATCACCAAATGTTTTCAAATTTAGGTTCGAGTCCAACCCTAAAAATTGAGCAACAGGAATTTTTAAAAATATAATTTAGAATGTATACGAAGACATGAAGTAAAAATAAATTTTTGAATAGTAATACAAGGTAAAAGAATTCTAATTGTGTGTTAATAATTTGATTAAAATGATATATGACTAGGATTGAAGAATGGAGAAGAAGGTCTATGAAAAGTTGCGCTCCTTCTTTCCCCCTCCTAATAAAAGATAACTTTTTTATTTAGTCTGCATTGCTTTCCCTTGCCAATCAAAAAATTTATTTATTTCAATAAATATCAAATTTTTTTAGATAATTAACTAATATATGAATCATTTATTTCTCCATTAATTTTTTTTTTTTAAATGTGTAGACAAAATTTAAAGATTTAAATTGAAACATGAGTTTTAAAAAAAAGATTTTTAAAGATAAATTAATATAAAAAGTAAAATCGCAAAACACCATCTACTATTTAATGATTATCTCATAAGCCAAACAAATAATGGAAGGGTTAGTATAAAATGGATATCATTGGTGAGTGAGTATTTGTGGGTCTTAGATTTTAAGAAGATATGTAAAATTCTAGAATAAGGATACCGCTTTCTACCATAGGTTCTAACATTAATCAAACTTAATGGGACTTAAAGGTTGCATAGCAAGATAGTACATTTTAATTCTTTAGCCATTTAATAAATTTTTGCAAGTGCCCGATGAACTCTGTGATGATCTTTGAAAAAATTATCCGTGAATAGGAATACTTTAGTCACATTATAGACGGAGTTACAAAGAATAATATATTACATCTCAATCTAATGCCTGTAAAAAGTGAAGAACTTTTCCTGAGGAAAATGGATATCGAAATTTTGGGTTCACGATGGCTCAAATAATTTATGCATGCTTTTCATAATTGCATAATTCTAAATAGCTTCGAAAAATAAATACTATAACGAACAAATAATCTTTCCATTTTAGATCCCTTACTGAACCCGTAGATATTTAGATTGTTATCTTAATAAATATGTATGAGTAAACCCCCCCCCCCCTCCCTCTTATTTGTAGCAAATACCTTTTTTATTGTAACCATAAAATATCGCGATATCTAGGCGATGCATAATATTCGAATTACACAATTTTATATATTACAGCTCTGCTATTGTTTATTGATTAATTACACACGACACACCCCTTGGGCGACATCGCGTCATCTTCGCGGTTACTATGAACGAGGTCTAAAGCATCATTAAGCATAATAAAATTAAAGCTCCTAATTTTTATTTACGAAGAAAGATTTTATAAATTGACATAAAAGTTATTTTAAATGTATACTAACTTTTGCAATTTCTGCCCGAATAATCTCTCGGATCATCTATGCTATCAATTTCACCTTTAATAAATTTAGAAAATAAAAAATGTCTTTACATATATTATCACCATTATCACGATTTTGTTTCAAAGCGCAAGTCTTTTTGATTCTTTCTTGAGTTAATATTGGACAACATAAAATTATATTCAGATGCAAAAAAAAATACATTTATAGTTCAAATTAAATTATATAGTAATATTTTAACCGGTTAATGGATATTATACAAATTAACAAATTTATTATCATGAGTAATTAACATTACCATTTGGATCTGAAGGTTTTCTGCCCCAAATAGAATCATTTGTACGTTGGCTTTGATCTGCATTCATTTGCTACGAATGTTTAGATTGCTTTTCATGAGATTTACTATATGGTGAATGTAATGAAGCATTTCCAGATTTTCATTAGATCCACCTCTTATAACTTATATAGTATAATTTTGATGATTGTTTCTAGAATATAGAATAATAATTTAAGTATGTAAAATTTAATTTTTATTGAAATATGATAATAATTTATATTAAATATTTATTCTGATCAATAATTAGTTCAATATGAGGCGAAATTATGAAATTTGTCGATTGATCAGATTTCCTATTAATTAAAAAATTGAACCGACAAAAAGAAATGTCTTGATTATTAAATATTTATTCTGATCAATAATTAGTTCAATATGGAAATTATGAAATTTGTCGATTGATCAGATTTCCTATTAATTAAAAAATTGAACCGACAAAAAGAAATGTCTTGATTAATAAAAATTCACAAACCAATAATGTTTTTCAAAAATTTGTGGCAATCATTAAGGAAATTTTAATGAATAATTGTAAATTTTATAAATATTAAAAAAATATTTCCTAAAAAATCTATTTCATTATATTATAGAGCCACTAATTATTATGAATAAATTAGAAAATCTGAGGAAAATTTACAATCTCAAGCTAATATTTTAATTAATAATCACAATATGGTTATTTCTTTGCATTTTAAGGGTTGTTTAACTAAAATACTAAATGTATAATGTAAATTCACAAAATATTAAAAAATTTATTAGATTTTGGCAGTTAAATATATAAAAATCTCTAAAATATTGTTTTTTTAAATTCGTTTTAATAGAAAGCAATAGAAAACATTTCCTATTTCCTACTGATATCTTAAAATCATTTTTGTCTTCATTATGTTTTTCTAAAATCAAACTTTAAAAATATAGCGTGAAGTTAGCACCGCACATTAATAATTTTCACATATAAATTTTTAAAAAGGCATCAATTTGTACTCGATTCGTACCGTTTTAAACTCGATTTGAACCATTATTGTTTTCCAAATATTGACAGTCCAAATTATGGCGCCAAAAAATAAATCTTTAAAATAAGTTTTTTTAAAAAATAAAAGATAATTTTTAAGCGCCATTAGGAGGAAAAGAAGGTTTCTGTTACTTCCTACTAAAAAAATAATTTAAAACCTATTTTAAAGTATTTTTAATTTTTGGCGCCATATTTTTAACGGTAAATATCTGGAAAACCGTTATTGTAATTTAAAACGGTACAAATCGATCCCTTTTAAAAAAATTTGAAATTGCAAATGTGTGAGGCTAATTTCTAGTGTTATTAAAAGTTACTTTACCGTTATATGTATTTCAAAGGTAACTAGTTACATTATAAGGTACTTTATACATCATTCATATAACGCATTATTTATTTACTGAACGCATTTATTTAATATAAAAAAATTAGGATATACAAATTATAATCAATTATTTAAGAAAATATACAATTTATTTATATAAAAAAATAATTAAACCGAAAAAAAAATTGGAAAATAGAATATATTTATATTATATCGATCATTGAAAAAAAAACATATAAAAATTATAGATTAATAAATGTTTATTTGTTTTTAACAACAAATTGATTTCAAAATTTTTACTAAGAAACCCGCTCATCTACAGGTGCACTTGATGTAAGAACAGCGTTATATTTAATAAAAATTAATTTTAAATTTGGGAAATCATTATAAAGATAATGTGTTATTATTGAATTTCATAAAAGTTTCTATAAGTTCATTATCAACCGCTTTAGGTCAAAAAATCCAACTCATCAATGGTTTCAACCATGATTCATTTATCTGAAGGGTATTTGATTAATCTCTTGTTGAAGGAAATGTTTGATATCTACATTATAATAATTTGTTTATCTTTCATAATCTTGGTCTTTCCTTATTAGTAAGTAATGATTATTAGTATTTTATTCAAAATTATTTAATTCTAAAATAATCTGATAATCTGTCTTTGTCGTTCCTTATACTAAGTTCTATGATCTAATTTAGTAAAATTTTTAAAATAATACAGTTATTACTTATGAAATTCCAGAGTAAAAATATTACTAGCAACTTGAGGGCAAAAAATATAGAATATATTGTAAATTTGTAAAGAAATATAATTTAAGAAAAAATAGGTTTATTACTTGAATTTAATTACAAAATTAAGAAACCCAGCAATGTAACAATTTAAGGAAAGAAAATCTATTTGGACGGGAAATTATATTATTGTTGCATATCCTTTGCCAACACAATCAGATATTTAAACAAAATTTTAAATTAATAAATTTAATTTAAAATGATTTTATCACACCCTTGAATAGGACTGCCCACCTGAAATGTAGTGGACAAAACTAGCTTTAATTACCTAGATTCGACCATTGGAGGTGAAGTGCTATAATTCATTTCAGAGATAAATTTCTTGCCAGATTTAATAGGATGAAAAATATTTTAAAATATTTACCTGCTCATCAAGCTTTTTATTTACTTAAAATTTTTTTATTCATTCCTAAAATTTTACACGCCTTTCGTTCATCAACAATTTTCATGTTCCCTGAAATATTATTAAATCTTGAAATTCATTTAAAAATTACTCGAATATATTTTATATATCAAATTCTCATCACTACCCTGGATGCAAGCTTCCCTTCCACCAAAGCTAGGTGGTATAGGTATCTATTCCCCAATATCCTTAAGCATTTCAGCCTTTTTATCCTCAGCTGCTAAATTTTGATACACACTTGGAGACTATCGATTCATATCATATGGCAGCATTAGACCTCTAGATCAAAATTGCGCTAAGCTTCTAAATTCTATAAGATAAGGAGACTGGAATTTACCATTCATCATTGCATCTAATACTTACACTTCAAAGCTGTTCGAAGATAATCTCCATCGCTCTTTTTCTACCTAACCCAACCCCGAGTATTCCTAATGACAACAATACGACTCTTTTGCTGGATCAAATAATTCCAGCCTCAGTCAGATGCCACTTAATTATGAATGGTTAGAAACTATACCTTGTCCTAATTTAAGCATGTTACAAACCAGTGAAGAACTTAGAATAGTTATAGGTCTTCGTTTAGGCTGTGAAATCCTAACGCCGACATCATGTTGTGAAACTCATATCGATAGCCTTGGGCACCACCTCCTATACTGTGGTTTTTCAAAAGGCAGATTACCCAGGCACTATGCTATCAATTCGATCATCAATAGAATCTTGAAATCACACATATTCCTTCTACGCTGGATCCCTCTGGCCTCAGCCCTGATAATCAAACGACCTGATGGAATGACTTTTGAACCAAGGTATACACTTCGCTTAGAATTATACATGTGTAGATCTTTTTTCCAGATCATTTTCTGTCAACTCCATAACAAAAGCTGAAAATACAAAAACAAATAAATATAGCCACCTTAATATCTTTTGTTTGTTCCGGTGACACCAGTGGATCATTTAGATCCCAAGTCCTAAAATTATTCAAAACAATAGGACAAGGTTACATTTAATCATAGGTGTTTCAAAAGAAGACTTCTACCTACGACAAAGAATATCAATCGAAATTTGTCGATCCAACTGTATATCTATACATGGGTCATTAAACCCCGCCGACCAAATCTAAATATATTATTTTATTTTTCAATTTATCTTTTTTTTATTATATATTTTTATATAGAATATAGATATAGTATGTTAATTATAATTTTCATATTCATTTAATAATTAAGTTACAGTTTCTAGGTTACAATTTTTAAAAGATAACTAGTTACACACTAATTTCACACTGTATTTTAATATTAAAGCATGATTTTAGAAAAAACTAATAAAAATGATTTACAGCATCATTAATAAAGGAAAAAGGTTCTGCATCAAATTTTTTAGAAAACTTCTTCTAAATATTTTATTTTTGGAGCTAAAATTTTAACGGTTAATATCTTGAAAACGGCAATGGTCATATTGAACTGAAAAAGTACAAATTAAATATCAAGAATCTAAAAGTGCCTGTCCAATTTTACGGATCAAGGGAAAGTTGATGTTTCCAAATCTTTTTAAAAAACCAAAGGTATGGATAGCATTATAAATTGTGCTTGAAAAGTAGATATTTATTTTAAATACGATGTGATCTTACAAAAAATTGCTTTAATAAATGTTTAAAATGCGAGAAAAGAAATTGTGGGTGGAGTAGGATTAGGAAAATTGTGATAATTTTTTAATTTGTGGATAAAGCACTTTTAGCGTAAAGTTCTGCCAACGTTAATGGAGGAGATGAAAGCATATTTTAATAAATATAAATAAGAATAACGGAATAACCACGTGTAAATTAAATAGTCCTAATCAAAATTTTTAAAAAGGCGAGACCCGGCCGATGATCCGGTAAATGCGGATTTTAAAATCTTTAGATTTTTGGTAAACGCCTCCCGATAAATCCTATCTTTCCCACCGTTTACAAACCATGTAGAGGCTCAAATTATTTTCAAACTAGTCAGCTAATATACAAACTTGAGGCTTGGAAAACACTAAAACTCAAAAGAACTTTTCCGATCTATTAGGTAGGTTATTGTATTAACTTTTATTTCGGGTTGGGTCGAGTTGAAAAAATATTTTTAATAAGATGGGCCAGTTTGGTATTTTTTTTATTGTTTCCTAATCTTTGCCTACATTTTATTTAAAAAAATCAACCCATTTTTTAATTTTTTAATTTAAAAAAAAAACTTACTTTTTCATTGATTTCCGTTCTCTGGAGAAATTTCTTATATTTTTTTAAAAATTTTAATCTGAGTTTTTTCCGTTTTGGTTACCTTTACATCTTTTTTAAACCATTTTTGTTTTTAACTTTATTTTTTATAATTTTCATCTGATTTTGCATTTTCCTTCCCATGTATATTTTGAGTATTTAAAAAAAAATTTAGGCTGATATAAAAATCCATCTTGTATTTTAATTTTTTTGCTCACCCAATTATATTTTACTTTTCCTTTTTGAGGGAAAGACACAGCGTTAGGATATTCAACTCGCAATTCTAAATTATATTTTAAATCAGTCCTTTTGTTTTTAGATCATGTATTACTATTTTAAGCCATTTCTTAATTTTTAAATCTAAATTATGGTTTTCTCACTTATTGAAAATGGCACCCTAAACGTTTATATACAATAATATTTGTATATTTTATTTTAATTTTGAATGTAATAAGGTACCATACCCATACTATATAATATGCAATTTAAGCAGCATTTATAATATTCGTATATATATTTACATGGTAATGTAAAATGTTTGCAATATGTTAAATAATCATTTTATCACCCAACCCAAAACCAAGAGGCACTTTTACAGTTTGAACCCTCTTTGCAATTTCCGAAACTTTCATTTTGGGAGCTATCCGAATCGAAAATCATGTTATTCAATAAATATCCGATGAGGCAACCAATGATTAGAAAATAACCCATCGCGTTTACTATGTTCCAAACTTTGAACATTGATAACTGTTTCTTAACATTCTTCATTTGGGTCTCATTAATGCAAGCCCTTCCAAGTTCTTCCTTTAATATTTTCATAATATGGTTCTCTCTTTTTAAAAGTTTGTATTCATGCTTCAGTGGAAACGTCTCTTGGTAGTTGGTCGAAATTATTGTGGTTGTCATTGCATTGCTCTCCCCATCAGAAATAGCTTAAATTTTATATTATTTACTAATAGTTAAATTTAAATAAATTATTTTTATTTAGAATGTAGACCACCAATACCAGGTTAAAAATTTATACTATGAGCCGTTTTACAAAAAGAATACTAAATTCTAAGAGATTTCTGAAATTCCATAACAATAATGATAAGAGAAAAAGTGATTATTGTTTATGTTTACTTCGGTTTATATCGTGCGAAGCCATTGTATAAGGCTCTGAGTGAGAATCCTTATATTTCGAATATGAGTTTGATTTTTTGAGGCAACCCGTTGTAGATGAACAACTGCTCTCGCTAACACTGCACGCTCTCCGCGTTTTCTTAGTACGCTTTAAAGCCTTGACGCTACCAGGATCAATAATAAACACCTTTAAGCATTTTGTAAAAATCAAATCCGGAAACTTGTTTGATAAATCCAACTTATCAGCGCCTAATAAATTTTCACAACCACCCGAAGAGTTAGTCGTGGCATTTTCATGAGTCTTACTTATCGTTATTATTATCATCTCTTTGATTAAGCCAGATTTTATCCAAAATTGGTCATTCTTTGATAATTCTAATATAACATTAACTTTAATCGAGGATTGTGGCGGAATCAATCCACATTTAGGATAAATTTTGCAGGCAATAGGACCATCTTTCAGTTGTATTTGATATATTATATTTTGAAATGTTTTGTTTTTCAAAAAAATTGTTTTCTTGAGTGATTCATGGTTCCATGGTCCCTTGAATATAAGTTCTTCTTGAGGAGTTAAAGATAGAATATTGTCAACCATAAAAAAGAATACTATATTAATTTTTTTTAAATCGACATTCTCCGAAAAGCGTTTATTAATTATTTGAACTCGTAAGATCTTAGGTTATAAGCATTATAAGTAACAAATAAAATGTTTAGGAGGAATCACATTATGATTGTTGAATATATTGTTAAGACATCATATTATTCTAATTTAATTCATTCATATCTCATAGAGGATAGCATGTAAAAATTTATCGGGAAATTTTTTTTAATAGAAAGTCGTCTAAAGACTTGCATGAACTTTTAATGCCATTTTTATTGTTCCTAGGTATCAAATTTATTATTGTGTAATTCAACCTGACAGGCCCTATTTAGTAGCCAGAACATTATAGAACCATATATTCCAAACCCATAATTTCTAAATGATAACCTGTTTGCCCCTCTTTTTTGACCAGACCAAATTTAAAATAATTCTGAACTAAGACTCATAAACGATTTCTTTCAAATATTATTGATTTGTAGCGAACTCGGTGACATTTTTGTCAGGTCAAAATCCTTGTCTGAACGTTTTACCATCCGAGGTCGAGTGTAAAGGCTCAAAATCCCATAAATATTGAAAGAATCGAAAAATTATTTTTAGGTTAATAATAATATTGATTTTGAGAAAATAGTGAGGAATCGAAATTTATTCTTAATTATAATTTTTTATTTTACTTTAATAATTTATCAAAAACAGTATATAAAACTATACAAATTTTTTTTTTAAAAACATAAGGGGAAGAAAAAAGGCACTCAATGAGAACCGAGGAAACATACTATTTGTCTCGGAACACTGTGATTTGAGTTGTTAACATTTTTAAAGAGGATCCATGATCTCTATTAATCTGAATTTTTTTTAACTTAAAATCTTTAAAAAATGATATCCGGTTGGGGGGGGTGGCTTAGAGATACATTAGTAGAAATAACGATTAGGACAGAGTAAAAATCTGAAAAGTCGTGGTACTTTCCAATTTTTGACCTTTTTATTCTAATGATCAAATGAATGTTTGGGTTAGATGTAAACAGGGAGACACAATTGAAATCTCAAATAAGGTGTTCCTCTAAACCGAGGAATATGAGCCCATCTGGTATTTTCCAATCAGACAGGGATAGGTAAACGTGTTACAAGAAATTTGAGAGTTAACAATGATGATTTATTTCTATTCGTTAGACAAATAATAAATAATCTCTCTTTTTATTCTATTTCTATTACTTTACTCCTATTTTTTTTTCTTTATTCCTCTTAATAAACCTCCATGCACTCGTCACTTTTTAAAAAAAATCATATAACCCTTCCCTGCCTAGTTGTTTCTTTTATTCCCTTCTTCTAATTTTGTTATTCTAAAATATCTACAGAGTTGTCTAAAAAAATTTACACACTATCATTTTATTTATAACTTAAAATTGTATATAATCATTAAATTAAAATTGAAAATATTTTTTAAAAAACATGATAATCTTTTATATCTAACAAGGAATAATAATATTATATATCAATTATAATCATGGGAAGACTTAGATTTATTTAAAATAATATACAATATAAAATCGTTGAAAAGTTTTTTGGAGACCAAATTTTAAAAGAACGTTATTAAGCGTGAGCCAATAAATCATTGTGTTTGAGAATATTATTTTCATAATTGATGAAGGTATATATTTTTCTTTAAAAAAAAATTATTTTTGATCTTTATTTCTTCAAATGTTTTTCAAATATTTAACCGAAATTGTTGGATAGGAAAGAAGCCAAAACTTTTACATATTTATAAATAATTAAAAATAGGAAAGAAAAAAAATAAAAAAATTCAACTTGGAATGATTGGTTGAGCAATTTCAAAAATATATCAAACATTATTAGTGTCATATAAAGCGGGTAACATTTTAGTAATTAATTATTAAAATAATATGCATACAAAAAAATATATATTATAAAACCCTGTATCACATTTTGAAGAATTTTTTTTATAAAGAATATTTATAATTACAAATTAATTATTATATTTTCTATTTCTTCAAAAAAAAAATTTATATATATATATATATTTACAAAATTTACATTTTATCACTGGGTTAAATATACTATAAAATATGGCTTTAACCTTGCATAGAAACGATACGATAACAAAAAATTAGTAAATTATTTAATTGCTGTATAAACTACTTTTTCTTCTTGGTTTTTAAGCATTAAGCAAAATGTTTCCAATCTTGAAAGCACAGTCTTTTCTGAATATGCTTTTGATATTTCATAGGGCATTATAATGTCGATGTTTTAAACGCAATTTTTGATGAATTAAAAGTGAATGATAAACTTTTCATAATAATTATTAATATTATTTAAAAAAACGTGACAATAAATATTTTATATTTAGAAATATAAATAATCAAAATAAAATTATCGGCTATAATTTAATCATAGTTATGATAATTAAAATAATATAATAATATTTTATATCTCCGAGGTTTAAAGAGAGTAAGGATGTTGTTGCTTTACTACTAACACTAACGGATGCATAAGATGTCCTAACTTTAGCTCCCAGTAAAATGGGCATAGGAAGTTCCGACATTAAAGTGGGATTATGAGAACTTATAAGAGCCGATAACCTACGAGCTTCCCTATTACAAATTTCAACGTGTAAAGGGGAAGTAGGAAAGGGAGATTTGGATAGAACTACGAGTTTTTCCTTGTCAATTAATCTTTGGCTATGTAAGGTGTGATTTGTGTCCAAAGATTTGCCTTCTTGAACTAGTAGAATAAGGTTTGGGGAATCCGTCAAATCTAGGTTCGAACTTATAAATTGTCTCCTTTTAGACTCGATGTTGTCGACTTTCTCAGAGTCTTGAATTTTAGCATCATTTTTGGAGTCAAAAAGGCTCTTTTTTAAACTCTTCAATGCTAAATATATCATGTTACGGCCTTTTTCAAAATTGCCAACAAAGCGCGACTCTTCATTTTCCCTCTCTTTAACCCTATCGTCACCTTCTCTTTCCCGTTTCTTTAACGAAATATGATCCGATATTTTAGCCATGGATAATGGACTTAAAATGGGAGCAACTAGAAAGACTAAATCTTTCTCTAAGCTTAGATATCCATACAAATCGCATTCAGAAACCTTCAAATGTCGTCTAAGTTTAGCCGTGATCTGATTTACCGTTATAGGTCCAAACTGAGTTTCCTGAGCTAAGCTATTAACTATCTCCTGGCTGTATAATACCCTTATTTCAGCAGCTGATGTATGTTTTTTTTTAAAAAAAAATGAGTTAAATATTGTGTTAAAATTCACGATTAAAATAAAAACTTCTAAAGCTGAGAAATTTATAATAAAATAATATTAATATATATATTTATTATTTTAAATATTAAAGAATAGCTATTACCGCAAACTGGACAACAAGCTCCGGGGGGTGTAATGCCCATGCAGCTAATAGTGTACTTTTTCTTCCTATCTCCCCTTTTATTGCTCTCTTTATTATTTAATCTTTCATTCCAATCTCTGTTTCCTCGATTTTCGAGATCACTTCTATAAAAATCCATGTTTTCTTCCGTGAGATAAACTGTGTTTTTAACATTCTCGCATAAGGAATTTCTTCCTCCCGCTCCTCCTACGTTGATTGGGCAAGTTGATTCGACTTGGTTAAAATCAAAATTAGAATTGGGCATCAGATTGTCTAACATTATAGATTGAGATCCATATGAACCTGAACTTATAATTCCAGTAGTTAAGCAAGGACCGGCATAATCAATTAACGCCCCATTAAGAGAGGCTTGACATTCGTCATCGTACGTTTCCCCGTTATAACCACACACTGGTTCTTGGCTTGTATCTATTTGTCTATACAATTGACTTAATAGCGGCTGGGGATTCATCTGGCTAAAATCATTTTGGGTGTTTGAAAGGAAAGATAATTTGTACACGTTCTGCTTTTGGATATAAGGGTTGTATTCTGATCCTGAGGTTAGTCTGGTGTAAGTTTCAAAGGGCAATCTCTTGAGGCACTTTGTAGTTCTGATAGCTTTTTTAAAAAATATTCTGGAACTTATATTAGTTATATGAAATTCAAAAGAAAAAAAAAGGTATTATATAATATTTTGCAATCACCATAATTAAAAAATAACGATCCCATTATAGTTTGTGCTTACATATAATTAATGTAATAGAGAGTAAAATTTTAAATTCATTATCGATATTATCTTTATTATATAAATAATATTTAATTTTTTAATTATAAAATTTTTTTAAATTTGTCTAGTTAATTTATTTAAGCTATTGCCATTTAAGAAAAAATAAATATTCGAAATTTACAATTAATAATTCAAATATGTTTTAGTTTTTTATAAACAAATAACTCACTCATTTTTTTAAGTTGAAATATTGATAAATTGAGAATATTTCTCTAAAAAAATTAAAATTTATCAATTATTTCAAAACTAGTTGGCGCTACCTACATCTATAAAAACTAACAACATTTACAGTATTTACATGATTTATTTTTATAGCGTTTTTTAAAATTCACATGTGCTCTTTTTCAAAACAAAGAAAAAGGTTGTATAAATGAAAAATAACATGACAAAAAATTGCATTAACAAAATTTAAATAATCCTTATAATTATCTTAAAATAAATTAGTGGCGTACCCAAGGAGTAATAAAGTGGGAAATTTCCCTACTCATTGGAAATTTGTCTGTTCTAGTAAATAACATATTAAAGCTAGTATAAATGTTATAAAAATATAATATAATATAGCTAAAGATCTATAATAGCAAGTTTTAAAGACCTCCGGTAATATTTATGGCAAAAACCACCATCTAATAGTACCCCCCCCCCCAAGTAAACGTATAGATTAATTTAGAAAAAATTTGCTTATAAAATTAAACATTACATTTCCTATTACAATAAATATGCATAAAGAAAACTAAGGATGACTTCAAACGTAATCATTTTCGTTACTATAATGATCAGTTCTATATATACGTATTATAAATCTATGATTATTATAATATTATTTTTTTGAGTTACAACTTACAAGTTTGAATCGACTCGGAGGTGTCTGGTAAAAATAATTTGTAATCATGATCGCGAAATACGGAACAAGTTGCATGAGATCGGCCTGCATTTTGGTTCGAACAATCCAGGTTCTTGTTAACTATAAAATTCCAAGGATTAAAATGTTTAAAAAACCAAACAAAATAAACATGGGTATAGATAAATAAAATTAATTTTAAAACCGTCCATATTTTATATTTAAAAGAAAATTAAGTAAAATCTGTTACTAGCGATAACTTTTTTTAGATGAACAATATCTGATATAAATTAAAATTTATTAATGTAAATTATAGAGCATGTGTATGCTTAAAGCAAGGGTGCCGAACTAAATGACGAAACCGAAATAGCAGTTATAATTTTGCGAACTGATATATATATAAAATTAACAAGGAGAGAAAGAATAGTCATAAATACTATGGAACCCGGTTTTTGAAATTATAATTATTTATTTTAAATGATGGACATAATTTAAAAAGTTTCATTTCTTATAAACAAAATATCCAAATTACTATATTAAAATATTATTATTCGTGTTTTTGGGGGAATGTGTAGTCTTAATTCCGTTTTAATTAAATTATAGTTTATGAATTGGAATATAGTAATAACAATTCTTTAATAAAGTATATATTTTTATGTGGTTTTGTTACTTAATTTGTTATTTTATTTTTTAAAATATTATTTTTTTATTAGATTATTTAGGACTCAATTAAATAATATTTGAATATGATAATAAACTTTGAAAATCCAACACTTATAAAAACCGGAACGAACCGGCATGGATTTATAAATCGGTATAAACTGGTTTGAATTAGTTTACAGATTACCGTAAGATAAAACTAAAAGTTTTAAAATATGAACTGAAATGCGACTGAACCACTAATCAAATATTAAATAACTTACGGCACAAATATTGCGGACAAGTGGAAATGGAAATTTTGATGTTATTGTTATCAAAATGGTGTCTATTGTGTTTTTCCGATATGAATTTAAGATTATCGATGGAAGATGATAGGCAAACTTGCCTTAAAGGTACGCAAGCTAAATTGTTATTATCGCCGGTTGCGTCATTTTTCTTAAAAACGATTACCTTATCATTCTTGTAAACGGAATATTTTACTCCACAAGGATCCATATAATCTAATTCACTCAAAGGTCTACACACATCGGCTAAAGCGTTTGAACCAGAGCTAGGACAGGCACCATATTCGTATGAGTCAGGGGTTAAACCGGCACATCTTAAAAAACAAATGTATTGATCAATGTTTGTGCGAGTTTGACATTAGTACAAAATTATATTCATTCAGGAAAATTGTGAAATCAAGAATCAAGGAGAGTTTTAAAAAGGGAAAATGAATTAAATAAAATATGTATTTATTTAGTTTTATTTTATTTGGTTATGATAATAAATATCAGTAGGTTATAAGAAAATGCATGAATAAAGCTCAGCTAAATATTGAATTAAATTAACTAATTTCGATACCCTTGAAATCAAGTATAAAATAATCCTTTCGTACTTTGCCAAACAAGAGCTATGGTAGGTTTTGCCATTGGTAGCACATACCGGAACGTAATGATGGGGGCAATTGCAAGGGAGACCCGTGTAACTTAGTTTTTCTTCCTCCGTCCAAAAGATGGATGGGCAATAACGGAGTGTGCACACGACTTTACCGTTATGGCACGAACAAAAATTGCAATCCATCGTGAATTGAGATAGGTGCACTTTTTTTATGAGTGAAGATAAAATGTTATTTATATTTTAAAAATTTGGTAGAAAAAGATTATATACTGATTTTTTTTTATATTTTATTGCATTAAAAATTTATAGTATACTCTTAACGCTATCCTGAATCCAACAATGGTTGATACCATAACAGTTAATGGAATGACAACGAATTAAATCGTTTTTTCTTATGGGGGAACACAGGCAGACCCTGTGACAATTCAAACCTTTTCCATTAATCGGCAACTGAACGAAGGAGCCATGAGGTATGACGAATGAAGAAACTTCTCCCAAGGTGCAACCTAATATATAAAGTTATTTCATTTTTGTAAATGAATTAATTATTGAAATGATGCAAAGTATATAAATGCGAGAATTATTTTATTTTTTTTAATTGAGTTAAAAACGCCTATGAGCCAATAACAAAAATTTACCAGATTGGCAAGCGTATCCTCCTCGCCGTTCTATAGTTGTATCGATATTAGAGTAATGTTGATAATGTCCATTTCTTAGTTTAATATCTCCATTATCTTGATGGTGATAACTCTCACTAAATGCTCCCCTAAGCTTTCTCTTCCCGAGGTTTCTTTCCACAATTGATCCTTGTCCATGTTTATTTGATTCATATTCTTCTTTACCTTCTTTAATATGGTCCGTTTTGGCACGAGAATAACACTGTTGGGCACTGAAAGGTAATTCAAAATAACCTGTCGTTTGAGTATCCTGCGAATTAGATAGCATCATATCGAGTTCAGTTGGTAAGGTATTCGCGCAAGTGAGGCTTCTATCTATAACACAAACTGATTCTTTACGGCATACATTGGCCTCAGTCGATTTAGTACAAGGATAGTTTGAATGGAAAGCGAACATAGATTTTAAGATATGGGAGAAAGGAGGGCTGACCAGAGGCCAAAATATTGATGAAGCATAATGATAACTACCGATCATAGTTGACGGTAAATTATTGTAAGGGTGTAAAGACGAACTGTACACGGGTTTATTATCGTTAAATATTGCGCTGTATAGAAAATTAGTATCAGTATGAGAATATAAGTCATGAAGATTATTTGTAGGATCATTTATGTTCGCGTTGAAGGGATTGGTGGGAAATGTCGAATCTTTTTATGTATTTTGAAATAAATAATCGTCAGGATAGTTTTATGATTATAAAAGTATAATCTAAAAAATTTTCTTAAAATCGACTATAACTATAATAACATTTTGAAAGGATATTTTAAACAAGAGATAATTTCAAAGTATAATAGTTTTATACTCATATATTCTGATACAGATATGCATGACTGTTCTGGGTCAACGGGTGAAAGTATGTTGCAAAGACCTTCTGGACTTTGCCCAGGCATCAATTTTTCACGATTTAAGCATTTATTTAAAATTTTGATACAATCTGATCTGAATCAATAATAAATATTATTATAATTAAATTACCATTACGTTTAATGTAAATTATTTAGGAAATTGCGATTCCGACAATAGAAAAAGTACTGGCAATGAATTATCATAACCCGAAGCTGTATTTTAATAATGTTATACAACGTTAATAAAATAATGGCTAGCGATTTTTTTTAAATTTAAATACTTACATTGATATAATTGTAAAATATCATTAAATAAATGAATGCCATTTATAACTATAAAAACCTGCAAATTAAACTGGTGTGACTAATAGGATGACAGGGCTTAATCTCTAATACACAGGCTATAGCTCTCCATTGCTCTGGCAAGCATTCTTTGATATCAAGGACAGGTATATCTAAAGCAGGCAAGCTTATGGTGGATGCGGAAAACCAAGATGTTATCAGCTCGTGGGCGGAATTATCTGAGGCTAGCTTACAAGAACGGTAAAGTTCTAGAGGCCTGTGATTAAACAGATGGCCGCAAAATGGTAGATGAATTGAGCATCCCAATGTGCATGGTTCATCCACTTATAGTTTATTTATATTTTAAAATCGTGTTAACTAATAATTGTATTTATTTATTAAAATCGTGTTAACTAATAATTGTATTTATTTATTAAAAATTAGTAATATTCATTGAAAATATTATTTTTTTTGATAGGCATTTTTAACAGTAAAGGGGTCAGGTTTGGATGTGTCACTCTAGCTACAATATATTTTTTGAGGGAGTCTGATCTCAAATTATGGTTTAGAAAAGGTCCCATCCTATCTAAAGTAAAATAATCCGATTATAAATATTTTTACTCTCTTTCTTTCTTTCTTTTAAGATTTATAAAAGCAGTAAAAAAAAATAATTTAAATTTTTTCCGAGATCTGAGTCAGACTCAATCTCGGTTCGAATAATTTCATGCAAAATTGCGAAAAGTAATAGAAATTTTTTAAATAATTAAGGATGCATTTATAATCTGCATTAGTTAAGAATAGCCCAATATGTATATATAATTGGATAGAATTCATATTTTTTTTGGTAATATATGGTGTCGATCTGTCATATAAAAATCCTGCTTCTGGCAGAATTTTACTATATATCGTATTTTGCAATATTTATTTATTATTACATACCTTCGGATAAACAAGTTATTAGATTCGTTTCCACTGGATTATATTGGCAATGCTCGCTGAAATCGCTCCAATTGTTGTTAGCCTCCAAACTGTAGGACTAAGTAATATTATATTAAAAATTTATCTATTAGCAGATTCTATAAAATGGTTAGTATAATATAATTAAATCAAGTATAATTTTTTTTTTAAAGATTTTAGATCTATTCCTAGAGCTTCTGTTTATTCATATATAATGCGATATATTTTTAATTAATCATATAAAGACTACAGTGGCATCACTAGGGATAGGTCATTGAGAGCTAGAGCCCCTCCAAAAAAAATCAAAAATACAAATCTTGAAACAAAATAATTTTCAAAAAAATGGTTTATATTTTAAAAATATTTTGACCACCCATTGAGCTCTGAACCCTGATATATTAGAATAATATTTAAACTTATGACAAATTTTACGGAAGCCTAAATTCAAAAAACTATCGAGTATAGTTAAATAGAACTGTTTAAAATACAAATTCCCACTTATAACTTTAGTGCATAGATCCACGCAAGTTTGGGTAACTGCCTTTAAACAACATTGCAATTTAACGGCGTCCAGACCTGCTATATCGAGCTTAGACGTTTGGTGATAATGATGTTTGTCGTACAGCATACCGTTTTCTTGGTGTTCCATGGAACCCATCCTGTTTTGACTTTAAATTTTGAATTACATATAATAGTTAATGCATTACATAATCTAAGATCGAGAAATTTCCGAAACATCGTTTCATAAAATGATATTTAAACCTCATAAAAATTACATTGTTTATAAAATTTTAAATTTTTTTATAATCTATAACCAGATCGGAAACTGGACGAAAAATGTTTCTTCTATTTCCGGCTTAAAATTTTTTTAAAGTTTCTGTATCCTATCTTAAAATTTGTCGTGATTCTGAGGGTTCTAGCACCTGGTTCCAATAAAGAAACATTCTAACATTAATCACACAACAAACAAGTTAGAACTTTTTAAAATGGATTCTGGTTCAGGTTCTAATATATTTTAAAAGAGCTTTCTTTCTCTCTTTGATTCGAGGTTGTGGTTTAGCAATTTATCCCTAATCTGAGATTTCCAGGTTCCGGTTCTAAACTCTGTTTATATGACATGATAAAATTGCGTAAAACCTATCGCCATTATTCCTAAGCCTAAACATGTCATTGTCCTCCTCGTCCATTCCATTATAATCACTTTTGGAGGAGCCAGATTTCAAGATAAGGTTATCATTATTTCCTTCGCCATTATTCAAAAACATATGCCGATTAATGCCATTATGAGCCATATCCTGTTGATCTAATATATAAGATTCATCTCCATCTAGGTTCCTAGTATCTAATGATGCGTCGTTATTACCGCTAACATCGGAATTTAGTATGAAGCATTGCCAAAGTAAATTCTAGGGTCATTACATTTATTTGCACAAATTATATGGAATAATGTAATTGTATAATTTAATATGTAACCTTACAAAAATGGAGATAATTGTATTTTTACACTCTATTTATAAGCTAAATGGAAACTAGTTGGCCTTAAAATTAATAATTTTAGTTTGCCACGAAGGTAAAATAAAATGTAATCAATATTTTATACATTTGGTAAAGTGGGTCCACACACTTCATTCAATTTATCCACTATTTCTTGTTCGGTAGTGGAGTTAAATAGTATCTCCTTACATTTCTCCCGACAAGTTGCGTTCGAAGATTCCTGACAACATTTTAAATCTGAATTATTATATAAATTAAAATAGTTAAATTTCTTAAATATTCATAAAATATTCTCAAAATTATGATTTTGCCCTCGTTGAAGGAAAATTAAATTTATTAGGGGAGACCAGGGTAAAGAGATTGACGCAAACAATTTTTTAACCTTTGAGTATAAAAACCTTAAATTTGGTATGAAGATGTTTTTTATATCTAATTTCTTACCTACTTTTCAACTTTCCTGGCGTGACATATTTCTTTAAAAATTCCTTTTTTTTACCCAAAAATTATAAAAATAAACCCTCTAGTTTATTTTGCTTTTAGCAAAATAATATGTATTCCTTAAGGTCATAGATATATTAGTCACGCAATAACGATTTGTATACACCTTTAGGTAAAGTTGTCATGGGTAAAACGGCAAAAATGTTCCGTTTGATTAAAGCTGTAAAAAAATAATTTTTAAATAATAACGTTTACACTTAATAAAAAGATACTTTAGCATTTAATAAATAATTTATGTGTTATTTGGGATATAATTTTAAAAATAATCGTAAATAAAGCCATTTTTGGTAAAATAATTTCCACTCCGGTATTGAAATGATTTTATATTTAAAAGGAATGAATAGATGTCAAAATTGAAATATTTTGTTCAAAACAATAGTTATGCTCAATTTTATTTTAACAATTTTACCCTGATTCTCAACTATTTTGGGGTATGGGGTAAATGGCGCACTTCACATAATTAATCATTGCTTCTAAATATTATAGGTAATCTTGCGTCTGAAGGATTTGGCTACATATAAATATTAATTTGTTCTGTTTTGTTTCACAATTTAATGTAAAAATGAAAAATAGCAATCGTTTCACCCTGATCTCGTCTGTCTAAAATTCATATAACAATAAAGCATTCTTATTTTAACCCCCCACCCCTCCCATTCTTTCTTATAATCGTTAAGCACTATGATATTCAGTTATTTTATAATATTCTTCCGCAGCAACCACGTTACCCGTTCCAATCGATACCTTCATTTTAGTTTGCATAATTAGCATCGCAACTATTTTATTAGTATATATTCTAAAAATGATATACTTTCTACTGGGTTACGTGCCGGAGTAGTTTTAGTGTAATTTTGAATGCATCTTAAAACGTGTTTGTCACTGAAGCCGCATTTTCTTTCCACGTACAATTTATCATCTTGAGTCGGGCTAGCTTCTTTCTTGAAGATTCTCCAGCAAGCTTGCTTGCAATCCTCGTTCGCAGTGTTACTGCAACATATTTCTCCCTCTTTAAATTTTGGCAATATATTAAAAAAATTTATCTATTTTTAGATATATCTTTAAAAAAGTAGCTAATAGCGCGCTAAGCGCCAATTAAAACTGATCTACTGGCAATATACTATAATATAACTTCAGGATTAAAATTGTCAAAAAAAACAAGAAAACCAAAATAAATATTCTAGTTCTTTAACCTCTATATTATTTTAAATTTTACCATTACTAAATTAACGTAATAAATAACCTGGAAATTATATCAACTATAATTAGAGAATGTTGAATACAAAAAAAATATATATACCTTCCTGCCTTTTTAAGCATTGATAAAAAGATATTTCATCGCTTTGCCTACAGGATTTCGTCAATTGTGACTTGGAGGTAGACTGTAATATATATAATTTGAAAAGTGTTTTTTTATCTTAAAATAAATAAAATTGATAAGCCTCCTTTTAAAAAAAAGGCTGGCATACGCAATTTTATTCACGCCGGAACAGCCGCCGATTGAGATCAGCGGCGTGAGCCGGCTAGCTGCCGATTTTTCTTATGGCGGCGGCGCGGCGTGTATAATATTTAGAATGTTGTTTAATTTTTATATATTAAATTATTATTATTTAAATTTGAATATTAACATTAATATAATAAAACATGAATTGTATTCTATTGCTTTATATAATAGAATAGTGTATATTATTTACATTCATTCATACACCATATTCATTTCGGCTATATTAATTATTTTTATGGATTTGCGCGTTTTAAACCACCCTATATACAATTATGAAATAACAACTCTCTCTACTAATCAAAAATCAAGTTATGTGTGGAAGTACTTTGGAAATCTTATTTTGAAGAATGAGAATTAGAAAAGCACGATAATGCCTGATTATATTTATTGTGAACCTTGTTTAAAATTGGGGAAAAAAGATGAGGAAGATTCGGATAAAAATAATCCATTTTCACAGTAATTTATTTTAATTTTAGACTTATATATATATATAATTTATATTTTAGTTATGATATCAAATGTTATAGCAAAAATATAAGTACCTGTAACCTTTCTCGTCACTTACTTAATGTGCATAAAATATCAGTAAAAACTAATAATAATAAATCCATTCAAACTCTAAAAATGTTTCTAAAGCCAACGCCAACATGTAGCAAGAATATAAAAGATAAAAAATGGCTCTTAGGTTAGTATTAATGTTTATTAATATTCATTTTAAATTTTTAACTGGTTTGTTAAATTAATTTTATTAAGCTCTATTTGTTCAAAACAACTAAATTTTTTAGTTTGTTTTGTCAGCTCTTATTTTGAGAACTTTTTAATGTACAAACTTAATATATAATTTATTAAAATAATTATGTAAAACTTTAAAACAACTAAATTTTTAGTTTGTTTATTGTCAGCTCTATTTTGAGATCCAATGCATAAACTTATAAATTAATAAAATAATTATGTAAAACTTTAAAACAACTAAATTTTTAGTTTGTTTATTGTCAGCTCTATTTTGAGATCTTTTTAATGTATAAACTTAATATATAATTTATTAAAATAATTATGTAAAACTTTAAAACAACTAAATTTTTAGTTTGTTTATTATCAGCTCTATTTTGAGATCATTTTAATGCATAATTTAAATTTATTAAAATAATTATGTAAAACTTTAAAACAACTAAATTTTTAGTTTGTTTATTGTCAGCTCTACTTTGAGATCCTTTTAATGTATAAACTTAATATATAATTTAAATTTATTAAAATAATTATGTAAAACTTTAAAACAACTAAATTTTTAGTTTGTTTATTGTCAGCTCTATTTTGAGAACTTTTTAATGTACAAACTTAATATAAAATTTATTAAAATAATTATGTAAAACTTTAAAACAACTAATTTTTTAGTTTGTTAATTGTCAGCTGTATTTTGAGATCCTTTTAATGCATAAACTTAATGTATAATTTAAATTTATTAAAATAATTATGTAAAACTTTAAAACAACTAAATTTTTAGTTTGTTTATGTCAGCTCTATTTTGAGATCTTTTTAATGAATAAACCAATGATATTTGGAATAAACTAAAAATATATTTTATTAAATTATGTAAAACTTTATTTTGAAAGTTCAAAACTAAATCAAATTTTTTATTTGTTTCTCTTTTTTAAATATCTTTTTTCTAATAGGGCGAAATTATGTTTTGATGTGCTGCTTAGATTTATTGCCATTTGATTCTATAAGCAATAATGGGATGACAGATTTTCTAAAGGTTTAAAATTTAAATAAAATGATTATTAAAAAATAAATTGCCTAAAAAAATAGAAATATAAGATAATTGATTCCTCATCAGAATTGCCTAATAGGACAACAATTAGTCGGGGAGCACTTGATGATGTTTATTGTTCTATAAAGGCACATGTTTTAAACCTGATTGATGCTGGTCCAAAATTCTGTTCCATTACTTTTGATTTATGGAACGATCATTTCAAGCGGCGAAATTATATTACATTTATTCTTCATCATTTAGATGAAAATTTTGATTTAAAATATTTTACCCAACCCGAAATGTGACTCAAAAGCATACTGGGTGGTATCGAAGAGGAGTTTCATTTAAAAGCCAAAATAATACAAATGGTAACTGATGCAGGGGCAAATGTCAAAAGAAGCGTCAGATTGGGGGATTATGAGCATCATTTATGCTTAGGCCATGGACTACATAATTTGGTTACAGTTGATGGCATAAAAAAAGTTGCCAGAATTGATAATCTCCTTAAAAAAATTAGAGAAATTATTTCAGCCCTCAGATATCGAGTAGCTGATTTGGAATGTGAAATTGAAGATGAGCATCGTAAATGTCTCCAGTCAATTTATGAGACAGGTCATATCTTGGATATTGATGATTCTGATCCATACCTTGATGACCATTTTGATAACGAAGCGGATAATAGAAATGTCATTACACCAACCAATCTATATAATACAAAAACGTTAAAATTAAATTGCCCTACCCGCTGGCACAGCATATTAATTATGCTAGAAAGTGTTCGTAGCGTGAACCAAAATCCTATTAATAATGTTTTGAATAAAATAGGAAAACAATGTTTAAAACTTTTTAATAATGAATGGGATATGATTGACGAGCTTTATGCCGTATTAATTCCATTCCGAGAGTCGATGGAATTTCTTTTCTCCCAAAAGGGATTAACTATAAATCTAGGGTTATTATTTCGCAGTGAAATAGAAACCCACATACAGATCAATATATCTGATTCCTCAGATATTATTTGTTTAAAATAAAATATGCAAAAAGCTTGACCATAGGTTTCCCATTACTGAACTTCAAGTTATTTTATATTTTTATTAAAATTATATTTTGAACATTAGATATTAGCGACTCTCCTTGATCCCAGATTTCAAAATCTGAAAATTGTGTCAGAATATTTAAATTCAAATTCTAACACATCATTGCAATTTTTAACAAGATATTTAAAACTTTTAGAAAATGATAAAAATGCACAAAGTGAAATCCAAGTTGAAGATAATGGGGAGACTTCCAGTTCTTATATCGCCAAAATAGCTCGTAAACATTCCATTCCATGCAGTGATTATAACAATATAAGTAATTTAGAACAAGAATGCCATATTTTGCTAAGCCAAAATAATATCCCAGAAGAGGATGCATTAACCTTTTGGAAGAAAAAGCAACTGGAACTTCCTAGGCTTGCTAATTTAGCTAGGAAGGTTCTTTGTATATCTGCAACCAGTACACCCAGCGAAAGAATTTTTTCCATTGCTGGATTAATACTCAATGCAAAAAGGACTTCTTTATGTCCCACCAATCTTGATAAAATCTATTTATTCATGATAATTATAATTTAGCTAAATCTGAATTCTGATTTATTATATTTCTTACTTAATATTTTGTTTGCATTCCAAATATATATTTGTTATAATAAAAATCAATAAAATATTACTAATATGTGTTGTTTATGTGACTCTGATCTGAGTGAAAATGCAATTCCTTAGTCTATTTCTGAGAATGAGAAAATACATGAATTTAAATTGAAGTGAGACAGGAAATAATTTAAGAAATAAACTATGTTAACAATGTGTTAGAAAAGAGCGCCAAATTATAAAAAAATGTAATACATTGATTTATATTTTTTAATAAATATCGCGCCGCCGCCGCCGACAATTTAGTAGGCGGCGGCGAAATCGGCGCGCCGCCGAACGCCGATAAAAAATTTAAAAAAAACTGCCGCCGTCAATTGAGACATCGGCGCACAGGTCTAGACATACCTAACATTCTAGAACCTCTTCAACACACTATCGCCTGGATAAGTCTTTAATTTTGGATTATACATGCATTCATTCGTAAACAGCAACCTGTTTACAGTAGCAGACTAAAAAGATCAACAAGTGAATTGCTATTCCCACTAAACGGAATAGCAATTCGCCTATCACTTTTCGCCTCTTTTAAAAAATGTTTAGCTCACAAAATAAAAATACAAACACTTAAATCTAGTGAATTCTTATATCTTAGACATATACAATTAAATATTTTTAAATTTAACTATTGCTCCTTTTTAGGAACACAATTATGTTTTTCTTAAAGAAAATTTTTTTTATTATTATTTTGATTCGTAAAATGTTTTTAATTATATAAATGATATACTCATAATTATTTTAAACAATTATACACTCAATCGTTACTCATATGAGCTTCGAAATTTTAATAACCAAATAACTCATGATTCAATTTAATTTTTTTTTCATAGGCCTAATCATAATAAACTTTCATCTTTTACGGTCTCAATAAAAAGTGATTACTATCATTATTATAAGAGAAATTTGATTTGGATAGTTCAGAGATTTATATTTATTAAAATCGAGATTTTATGGTTTTAAAATCGAGATTTTATGGTTATTTAATTATTTATATTAAGTTAAAATAGATAATTTTAAATGTAAAATATAATGTTTGTATGAATTACCGTAACACAACTCAAAAAACAATTTTGTTTGAGTGCCAAATTGCAGCAAGGCCATCCCAGCCATCCATTGGCTTGGTCTGTAGCTATCATTTAAAAATAATTGTGTTTAAAATTTTCTATATACTAAAAAAATATATACTAACTACAAGGTGTCTGGTATACTACTACAACTAAACTATTTGAAAAGGATTGCTAGAAAGGGCTGATGTTTAGAAGAATTTATAAAAATAAATTTTGAGAAAAAAAATCTACTCTCGAGAAAATTTTTATTATTTTTTTTCCTGTTCAATTGAATCTTTATTTGATTAAATATAACTAATATAATCAGATACCTCCGGGCCGTAAAAAATTTTTCTAAATAAACCCGGGCCGAAATTTTTTTTTATCTATAAATTCAGGCCGGGCGCAAAATTTATTTTTCTATCGGTTCAGGCCAAATATTTTAAGTTGCAATTATTATATAAAATAATAAAAAATAATATATTTAAAAATTTAAATAATATATCATTCATTCACTTCTCATATTTCCTATATCATTTCGAAACATCGAAAAATTTTTATACACCCGGGCAAAGCCAAAAATTTCACTTTTTTAAAAAAATCCGGGCCTGGCCGGGCCGAATTTTTTTTTTTTAAATCCAAGCCTGGAATGAATATTTTTTACACTGAACCGGGCCATGAAATATGGATAGAGAAAGGATGAAAATTAAAAAAGAAAATAGTAAAGGAAAACTAGGAAGGAAAATAAAATAAAGTTTAAGGAGGCATGAAAGATTATTCTATGGAAAAAATAAAACTTAGGGGTAGTTAGAATGAATAATCGCGGGAGCAATCCTTTGCAGTAAAAAGGGAGATTCCTTGAGCTGATCAGTCTTTTCGCGATCATAAAGTTAGATATTAATTTTAATTAATATAAATTTAAATTTATTATCAAAATTTTCATTGTACTCCAGCAACTATTACAGGTTAAATTTTTTTTTAAAGTTATAATTCAAGTTTGTCTAAGCGTATAACAAATATCGGGCTCAGCTTTTAACTTTGAAAAACCTGATTTTGAAGGAATGTACATGGAGAAGAAGATTAATAATAATCCTCTGAATTTGTAAGTGTATTTTTTTTAAGAACATAAAAAATCTGCAAAAATTAAGAGAAATTAAGAGAATACGTTTAAAGTTCATGGTAAAATCACGGTATAAGTAATCTGTACATGCAAGGACATAATTTCGACCAAATCAGGTCTAAAATTTAATAAATAATGTTTTATAAAATGATTTAAGTTTTAAAAATTTGGGGGAATGAAGTAGATTCCGGAATTTAGAAGAACCTTGGACACAGCATAAAACAAAATTGTTAGTTATCAGACGAGTTATATACAATGAGCGATAAAATTTTTGCAATTTTATTTTCTATACTTTTTAAGTGCCAAAGCTTAAACGTTCCTGTCCTATTGTCTTTAAGTTTTAAAGACGTTTTATAGCTAAAAAAAATATATTTTCAAGAACAAGAAATGAAGGAAATAGTTTTTGTATCTTTAAACAAATATATATATCCTAAGGAAAAATAACTTTTTTTTATTGATATTCTAAAATATACCATTATAAAATAAGATAATATCTTAATTTTTGGTCATTTAGTTTTTATTATGATTTACCGTGATGGTGAAAGTACAAGGAAAGTTTCAGATTATTAATAAATCTATTTAAAAATAAATAAATCTATCTTAAATAAACAAAATAATGTATTTTTTCTAAACGAGTGCGAATTTTTTAATTCAAAAGAGGCTGCTGTAGCACATAGATAACGAGGAGCCTGATACCAATATTATATTGTTGCCGCTGTGATACGTTATATTATAAATTATTTTAAGTTTTATTATCTTGCATGAATTCGTATGATAAATGTTTCATATTTAATAAATAAATATAGGCTTAATGCCTGAATTTAAATATATATTATGCTGTGGCTGACTTCATAAATTTTAAATAATAAATACACTTAGCTTATTTTATATATATATATTACAAAAATTACAATTAAATTGGAATTTTAAGAACAAAACCATATTTGTTTGAAAAATAGAGCCTGCAAGTTGCAATGAGAAAAGATGAGATTCGTTGTTTGTTATAATTCCTAATTCATATAGTTTATTTTTTTTATATAGTCATAATATTTTTTTTCTTCTTTTTTTTAATGCTAACTAATTGACAAATTCGCTATTTATGTTTAGCAAAATATAACTAAATTTTGTAAGTAAGTTGTAGCCGAGGTTGCCACGCGGCAGGTTCCCACAATTTTTTAATTAACATGCAGATCTGGCAAAAGCTATTGAGCCATTATTATGTAATTTTTTTTCTTCGATCCCTAATGTGGTAAATATTTTTCTGAAAAACAACCACTTGAGCAAAGCAAGGACTAAAAGGACATAGATATGGGTAAGGGATATATATCAGAGACCTGTAGAGATACCCATGACACGACCCGGCCCGGATTTGTGAAAAATAATTAGGCTCAACCCGAATTATTAAAATTTTTTTACCGGTTTCTGGGATTTACATTTTCAAATAAAGAACTCATTTTTTTATGACATGAGTTTTTTTTTAAAAAAAGGTTAGCCCCATAAAATATACCAATTCGGTATAATGAAGTTCGTTTTTCAGCTAAAATGAAATCATTTAATATCTAATAACTTTTAAAACTAACTTTTATTTTAAAATGAATATTATTTCCCATTTAATATCAAAGAAAATTTTATTTTATGTTGTATGTTTGTTTGACAAAAAAAAAATTATAATAATTAATTAGTCTCCTAAATTAATAGCTATTTTAATATTCTCGTAAGAAAAAATTAAAAATAAAAAATTATCATAATTAGTGAATTATATTTTACTTTTCTTTTACTAAATAAAACTAGAAGTATTTTCCAACGACATTATATAAATCGTTTTGAAATAGAAATTAAAATATGAGAAGTGAATATAAATCATTATTATTAAATATCCGGCTCGGTCCGGGCCCGAGTTTATTTTTAAAACAAATTTTATAAATTTATTATTAAAAAAATGAGTAGCGATTATTCAAATAAAACCTTAACATCTAAGTGGCCCAGCGGGGGAAGGGGGGTCATCATTTTTGATTTGACCGGCACAAAGTCAATTTCTTGAAAAAAAGAAGCCATATTTAAAATTGACCACCTCTTTTATATGCCAAATCACGCTAGTTATGACGAAATGTTTTTAATTTATAACCGTGTTATAAAAAAAATTCATGGTTTTTTTAGACTTTATAAAAATCATTATATATATATATTACATATTTTACAAAATATATTTAATATTCGTTAACACGTATTTATATTGGACATTAACAGAATAATTTTAGTTTTCGCTTTTTCATTATTTTTTAAAAATTAGGAGAACGACTATATAATAAGATTATGAAAGTTTTCCGCAATTCGTTTCATATTTATTTTATCTCCAGTAATGTTGTTAAACGGTTCGATTTTTTAAAAAGATTGACAAAATGTTTTAGCTAAAAAAAATATTAAGTAAGCCTGGAGATTTTGCTCATAGATGAAAGAAAGGTTTTTTTTTGGTTAAAATATTGGGTTAGCCGCTTTTAAAAATTGACCCGTTTAAATGAAACTACTCCCCCCGTTATAGAAGAATATAAAAACAGGAACAGTTCTTTAAAAAAAAATTCTCAAAATCATCCATTTAACTAATTGATTCAAAATTCATCTGAAATTAAATTTTAAGGATACCAATATTACTCTGAATAGTGATTGCACTTGAATTTAGACTAACCATGCGCAGAAAGGTTTGGACAACCATTTGCCAAATTTTGAGGCTTACATATTATTTGGCTAAAATCTTAATCGGTCCGTTTTTAAAAATCGGCCCAACACTAGATCTTGTATAAGTTCCTTTTTTTTTGCTAAATTGAGCTAGAAATCCTACTATCAATTCTTATGATTAACTTATTTTTTGGTTGATCGTATTTTTATGCATATTATGAGAGGTAATTTGATTTAAAATTCTATACCAATTTTTATTTTTTGGGTAACTCTCATTATGGCAAAAAAAAAAAAATTTCAAATAAATTATTCTTTTTTAATAAAAATAAAATAAGTTCATAATTTATTCAAAAAAAAAAATTAAAAAATAAGATTTATTATTAATAGTATGTCTCCAGAGAAAAAAAAAGGAACTGTAAAAAGTATAATACAATATTCATACATTTTACAATTATATCCAAAATTTTAGTTATATTCATTTTTTTATCGTAAATAAAAAACGAATATACTCAAATAAAAAACCCTAAAAAGTGACTAATTTATTGTTTTTTTTTTATAAAAGGAAGCTGAAGCTATGTGGCCATTCAAATGGAATTTTTTTTTATAAAAAAAATATGACTAGATTAGTGGTATAAAGCAGAGGCTAGCATGGGTACATTATATGGTCAGAACCAGGTCTATCAAGAAAAAAAAATCTCTACACGACTAGTCCGCAGTAACTATTTTTAGCCCAAGTCCGATCCATTACTTTAAAAAAAATTTAGGTCCATTGGGAAAATTGAAATCAAGGCCATACCTGGATTGCAGATTAAAATAAAAAAAATATGTATTTAGAAAATTAAGGATAATTTGTTTGGGATATCGTTATAAAATTATTTCAATATTGCCAATAATTATGTTTAATATATATATAAATTCAACGAAATAACAAGCTCAATCAGTCCGGAATCGCAATATTTGGGTGGAAAAGGAAGGTTATTCGTTACTTTTTTTGAAAATATATATTTATTGCTTTATTTTTTAAAAGGCCGAGTTTTCATATATATTTCTTTTTAGATTTTGATCATCGTCTTCGATAGCAAAATTTATTAACCGGTCGGACCGTGGGGCGATCAGTTCAGTGCATCGGCCCGGTTTTTTCACTATTTATAATCCAAATGGCATAATCCAATATAGTTGTTAATAATTTTCTAAAAGATATCATATGAAAGCTTGAGAAAGAATGGACTTATGATTGTTTGTAAATGAAAAAAATCAAACTATTATATAGACAAAAAAAATTGAGTCATACGGTCAAAGTGTAAAGCAAAGAAGGAAAGCTCAGAAAATCGGTTTAGTGACAACTTATGTTTTGTCGCGAAACGTTTATAAAATTTTAATGGGAATTCGTAAAAATGATGTGCTACAATTTTTTTTGTGGTGATGGGGTGAAAAAAAAATGCATATCCTAATTTTAAATATATTTTGAAAATGGCTAATTATTATAAGGTTTTATTGTAATAAATTAAATGTTTAAATAGACGATTGTTTCTTAGTTTTTATAAATATTATTCATTCAGTCAAGTGTAAGATTTTATTTAAAAAAGTTTAGAATTACTATCAATCGTGATTTTATTTTGATAAATTTAAAATATCATACATGAATTCAAAATAAATGACTTACCATCGATGATCGAATTCATGCATTTCCAAAAAACCTATAATTAAAAACAAATTATATATAATCGATTCTCCATCAATGTGTTATTTTTTCAACTTTAAATCAATTTGAGCGTAAAAAAATGAATATAAGATTAATGCCAAATCTGTCTGAAATTCAAAGGAGAGACATTCTATACATATTGAAATACATTTCGACAAAATCATTTTATAATGATTAAAAATACAATATTTTTGTAACATGTAAAAAAAAAAATTATTATTTCAAAGATTGTTTCATTTGTCATGGATTTATCTTTATTTATTTTCTATTGGTTTCAATAATAAACTCTAAATCCACATATAGCTTTCTTAATAACATATTGTGTCCCTTTTTTAAACACATGGTAACTCTTCTCGTGACCTCTTTACGAGTTTGAAAATATTTGCGAAAATCTTCGAAGATCTACAAATGTGATTTCATCTTGAAAGATTTTTTATGCATGAAAATTACGAAATATTTACTTTTAAAAAGTTTTATATACAAAAGAAAAGATATGGAAATTTTTTTGGAGGAAATCTTTTTATTATTATTATTAACCTGGGGTTATTACGAGCTCTATTTTTTTCCCCTTCTTCTAAATTATTAAACTTTTAGGCCGTGTTCAGTTTATTTCATAAAAAATCTGTTTAGCCGTTTATAAAACTTCCTCAAAACAGAATAAAAAGAAAAAGCTATGAGGGTAGTGCCCTTAGTTCAAAATCTGAATAGAATTATCTAAACAAAAATAAGTGTCAAAAGTATGACCAACCAGGACTTAGGGTAAGAGTTAATTTTTTTAGTCAAAAATGTGGCTATTTAATGATAATGGCCAGGGAAGTTCCCTTTTTTTAGATTAACAGGAACATTTTACCCAATTAATTAAGTAGGATTTAAATGTATTTTTTTGAAATTAAAATAAATTTGTTTTAAATGATATTGCATATTAAATTTGATCGACATTTATATTTTTGGGGTTCGCCATAACCCTGATATCCACTACATCATTTTTAAATGTTTAATCTCAAATTAGAATATATATTATATAAAAAATGAATAATTTATCGTTATAAAAAATAGCATTAAATTTTATATTTATAAGTCCTTTATTGTGCAATTAAATAGGTGTCTTAAAATATTTTAATTATACACCAAATAACATTAACGTTAGCTATAAACATGAATGATTTATTAGTTTAATATAGTTAGTCACTACAGCAATTACCACGATATTATAATAAGAGAATGCGATTTTTTAACAGTTATTATATGAGTTATTATAGTACAATTTGTGCATACATTAACACCCCCTACCTATGCATAATAGATGATATATATTATGCAACTAAAAATTATTAAATATTTATATTATTAATGAATAACTAATTTTACAAAAAATTATGGAAAAAAAAAGTAATCGCATGCCTTAGATATAGAAAACGGTCAATATATATGATTTTTTTTTCTCAATGGTATGTTATATTATATCTATTATACATTTTTGAGGTGAAAAGTTTAATTAATTCCATTATCGGATATGAACTAATTAGAATGGTAATTTAATCAGGTTGACACGCTTTGCATAAACTTTGCCTTATAAATTTTTTGCTAAATTATTTATTATTAATTCTTATATTTTTTATCTTTCTTTCCTTCTATCTATCTTCTTTCTTTCTTCCGTTCTTTCTTTCAATCATACTTTCTATTCTATTTTTTTTCTTATCCAATTATTTTATACAAGGTAAAATTATAGCTTACAGCTTTTTGAGGACAGAGTGCATGAACATTCGCTAGTTTTTGATATCGTATATCTTTAGGTAGAGACAGAGAAACCTTTATTAAAATATATTAGATATATAAATAATAAATAATTATATATATTTAAAAAGAAAATATTTTAGGCCTAAATATAATATTCAAATTCAAAACAAATCATTCTAATTTTTGTAAAAAAATAAATATATATATTATTTTTTAAACTCTTAAGAGGCAAGGTGAGTTTAGCACCCCAGGGTTTTTAAAATGTTAAATTCAAAAGTATCATTTTGATAATTTGATCTGGGTTTTTTTTAGTATAACTTCCTCATTAATTCTAAACTACTTCTGAAAAATTTCACGCATTTTTTAAACCTTATTTGGTCGCTACATTTATCTCATACATTTTAAAATAAATGGGCGTTATTATATTAAAGCAAATAAATAAGTCTATATGAAATATTAAATAAAATTTATGATTATTGCATTATTTAAATAGATTTTTAAAGTTAAAAATGAAATATAATATTTATTATGGCATTTTTGCTTTATTTTCGATCCTCTTTGCAAAAATTCTTGTATATATTTTTTTTAAATCTTCAAAATGTTTATTATATTTATAAATATAAAACGTTTAAAAAAGCACAAAGTCGCGATAGCTTTTATATGGAACTGGAAGGTTGATCTAGATTTAAGTGTCAGATTACTGATCCCTCTTTTTAATGTAATATGTAACACAGATAACTTTCTAGAGGGATGGGTGGCATCGATAATACTAAATTTCTCACAAATTAAAAATACCAAGGACCTTAAGTATTACAGAGGCATTGCACCTATCCAAATTACTCTAAAAATGTAAATGACAGAATTAAACAGAAAATTAATCATTCTTTCTAATGCTATTACATCTTATAGTAAGAGTATAAATACGAGTACTACAAAACTACTCAAGGTTTTTAAATTCGTCCTTTAAAAAGCTAGAAAATATTAATCTACCATTCTCGCCCTAATGTTCGATCTCAGCCAAGACTTATTTGACACATTAATAGTTACAGAATAAAATATGGTCCGTAATGGAATGGAAAGCATAGGAATTAGACCAACCTTTATTTTCAATAAAAAAATATATATAAGACAATCATAACAATAATACACCATAAAATCTAAACTTCAAATTACAGCAGTTGGGGTTTTAAACAAGGATACATACTTTCACCTATGATGTTCAATCAAATCCTTCAAGCAGGAATAATTAAATAAATATTTATGACTATAAATAAAAATAAATAATAAAAGAAGTATTTATAAAAGAAGATGAAAAAAATGTTTAACCAGAACAAATCTAACACGGACAAAGGTTTGCAATAGGCCTGAAAAAACTTTTGAATATTTAGAATTATAGGGATGTCATTTTGTTTATCGGATCGGACATATTTTCCGTTTTTTAAATATCGGTTATCGACGAATATTATAAAATTTCCCAATCAGATCCGATAAGATCGCGTATTAATAATAATAATTGAAATGATAATTTTATTTTTTTTACAAAAAGTAAGTAGATAATTGAATTTTTTTATTATTTTTAATAAGAATTTTCATGATTTTTTAAAACTTAATAAATATTTTTAAAAAAATTCTAACAATTTATATTGACTAGTATTGTTAAATGACCCGATTTGAATTGATTTGTAAAAACGGCTAACTCAATATTTTATCCAAAAAAATATTACGCAACCCTGAAGATTTTGCTCATAGATAAAACAAAAGTTTGAAACATCTATTAGAGAAATCTCAAGGCTCATGAAATATTTTTCTGGATAAAATATTCAGTTCGCCGTTTTTAAAAATCGTTCCATGACGAGCTATTCAACGACACTTAAAGAGCATGATTAGGCATGAAGTGTGGTTAAACGGATATCGAATTTTGAAAATGTCTAACCCAATATTTTAGCCGAAAAATGTTATGCAAGCCTTGAGATTTCGTTAATAGATGCCTCTTTCTGCCACCTATGATCAAAATCAGCAGGCTTGCATAATATTTTTGGAACACGAACTAGACGGTATTCTACTCTCTATAGGATAGAAAGACTTCTGGAACAAAAAAAAATATTTCAACAATCTTACTAAATTAAATGATTTTTTACATTGATGAATAAAACTAAATAAATAGGCCTAGAATGATAAGAATAGTAAATTTTATATGACAGGTTATGGTATAATCATAAAAATTGAAATATATTAAATATGTATAAGGAATAAAATCAGATTTGATATCGGATTGGCCTCCAAAAAGTGGTATAGGTACATCAATATTTAGAATACATTATCTCACTTCTCTTCTAGTTCATAAAACTCAATTTACTGACTAGAACTAACTAAATGTTTATGAAAGTCGGGTGATCTCTAAATTAAAATAAAAAGGTCTCTTATCACGAAAAAGTTAACCTCGTTAAAACTTATTTTTAATAAATTATAATAAGTTATTTTTATCATTTTAAATGTAAAAAGTGAGTTTTCTCAAATTACATTAATTTATTATAGAATTTATAATGCTTTTAAACTTAAGCCCTTCCCCCCCCCTCCTTTTTGTTAGTGTTTGGTTAACAAATAATAAAATGTTATGTTTGATTTTGATTGTATTGGATTTTATAATTATATAAAATATTTTATCTCATAAATTAGATCTGAAGTTACCTTTATGGATGTAAAAAAAAATAAAAAATCTTATTAACAAAATATTTAAAATTACAAAGTATTATTTTATTACACACCTTTTGGTTTAATGTTTTATTTAATGTATTATTTAAAAATAACACCATTTGATAAAAAAAAAATATGGTAAAAATGCCATGTTTCAATGTAAATAATTTGATGTCATAATCTGATTTTTAATAGTGGATATTAATTTAAATCAGGAGAGGAGTAGTGTTGGATACCATATTGTCATAAAATCTTCTTTCTTTAATGTTTTACGATTCCCTGGTTTTTCATTTATACATTTTCCGTTTTCTTTCAGGCACTTCTACTAAGTAGGTTGGTGGGGGCCCACAATGTCAGGATTACCAAATTTTTCTGCATATTTTATTTATTAATACGTTTCTAGAGTAATTACTTTATTTTTTGGGCTTATTTTGATTTCTTAGTACATTTTATTTTATAATATGCTATGAAAAAGAAAAGTTTGTCAAAAAAAAAGAATTTTATATTTTAAATTTGTATAATTTATTACTGTTACTCATATTTGATTTGATATTTTTATCATAAAATAATAATAAAATGATAAAGCAAGAATTAAATTAGGTAAAAAATAAAAATATTTTTAAAATAACAAAAAATAAATAAATGGAGCATGGTCTGGACCAATTTTTTTATCTAATGACCGTGGTCCAGTCCGGTCTGTGTGTATCGGACCAAAGACCGGACCGTGACCTAGTAATACTAATGTAATATATTATACAATAAATATCATTTTCTATCAGAAGAATCTGGAGTTTATATCAACAGTCACAAATAATTCATTAATCAAAAAATTATTTTTTGATAAATAAATGAAAAATGTCCATCGAAAATCGATAATTTTTACCAAATCCTATTTTTTTTTGCTTACTTCCACCACTCAGCCAAATTCATTATATATTATACATGTTATCCAAAAATGGTATATTTTTTTTAAAAAAAACCAAAATAAAAAAAATATTATTTTTGACAAAATTCAGAAAAATAGAAGTAAAGAAAATGAAAAAAATTAAAGGGAGGGGTTAAATGGTGTTACTAGCTATCATCATTTAGGCGTTCTCAAAAAATGATAAGTATAATTTTGTTCGAATAAGGTTCGCGCCAAGGTAGTAAATTTAAAAGTTCTAAGTTAAACTTTTCTCCATCCACTGAGATGCTTACAAATGAGGTTAATATGTTTTATAGTTACCTAAATCTCAGATAAATTATTAGAATTATTGTCATGATTATAATATAATAAAAAAAATTTTAACTTTCAAACTAAATTTGTCATTAAATTACTTTATATATTTATTTTATCAGATCAAAAAATAAATATAGTGACACTGACACAAAATTCCGAAAGATTTTTTTTTATATATTTTGTTATAATACGAATCGAATAATAACAGTATTTAATAGGAAAAAATGAATGAAGACCAAATGGTGTTAGTAATTATAGATAATGCTGATGAAACTGAAATCGATTTATAAGTTTTCCAAATATAATAAAAATTACTGTATATTTTTTAATGTTACCAATTAGTACATACACAAAAGAAAAGGACCTTTTCTTCATTATAGAGAATAAAAACCAATATCAAATGTATGGCATCTTAAAATTGATTGAAGAGACTAGTTTTACTCATCAAGATCTAATCTCCAACACAAAACAAATTATTAAAATATTGGCCCAATAGCAAAGATGATTAAATTTTCATTTATGAACGATATTTTGACTAACTTTTTAAATCATTAAAGAATGTTTAATTTTCTATTTTATTGTGATTTATACTATAATATTTTTTTAACCTTATTATGTTCGCTCTTAATATTTTGTATTTTTCGATATTTTATTATTTGTGTTCGAAATTATCATATTTTTAAATATGATTAGTTCTAATAAATTCTATATGATGATTAGTTCTAATAAATTTTTAATGCTCATAAAAAAATTACTTCAATGTTAAAAAATTACACCCCCCCCCCCTCCCCCGTAGAAAATTTCTGGCTACGCATCTGTTCATATCATTTAAATTTTTAGTTTAAAAAAAGAATTTGGATTCAGTAAAATTTTGAGAGTTGGTTCTCAGCCCTGTTTTTAACAGTAATGCTTTAAAGATTTTTTTGTTTATTTAAAATATTACGAGGTTTTTAAATCACTATTTCTATTCTTTTAATTAATTTACCAATATTTTAGACCCAATACTAATATACCAATACAATATTTCGTTAATCTTGGGTTTTTAATATTGGTTCCCAGCCCTAGACGGAGCCCAACCAGGGTATTTTTAGCATTAGGTAAGGGTCTGCAGATCTAATGGTATATTATCTAAGCCATACCAAAATTATTTTGTTTCTATTAATCCCCATTTTTCCCATTAATAAGATAAATTAAAAAAAAACCAGTTAAATTAAATTTTAATAATAATAATGCACTTTTTTAAAAAATAAATGTATTGAATCTAATGTAATTAATATACAATAAGTACAATATATATAAAATGTCAAAATATAAAAAAATAATTATAGAAAATGAAATGATGTATTGGCAATTTGACTTGCTTGTCGTGAACTTACTTACAGTTGTGTTATTTTTAACTCTTAAAAAAAATTTACCAAAAAAAATATGTAATAATAATTTTATATAGATTAGAAAAGTCTGAGATCAGAATTTCATTCCTATCTAATAAAGAAATAAATAATTAAAATCGATAAATAAATGTAAAAAAAAAATTATACTTATTTTTGGGCATAAAAATAACTAATAGCGGATGGGAAACTCAAAAAAAAATACATTATTAATTCGAAGACAAATCTACCCATCAATTATGTTATAAAAATAAAATTAATGACAATTTACACACATTTATTTCCTTCTTCGAGAAAAATTATTGGTTTTTGAGAGATGAAGGTGGTTATAAAATTATGAAACCTAGAAAACATATAAATTTCAACCTACGATTAATCTTGCAAACATTTGGAAGTATTCATTTTCATTCTTTTTAATAAAAAGTACTTGGGCATGGGTTTATCATAATATAAATATTTACTTTACCTTTTGATTTTTCTTTTCACAATCAAAATTTTTTTAATTACTTTTTTTTAAAGTTTTTATATTTTCATAATGTAGTATAAATTATTTACAATTTTGAAATTCAAAGGTTAAAAAGAAATTAAAACTAATGTTTTTTTAAAGGATAAAATTTTAAATAAAATTAGAAAAAAAATTGGTTGTAAATTATTATTTTGAAAAATAAGATATTTTTAAATGGAGGTGTATAAAATATTGTAGGATAGATATATTTTTATATAAGTATCTGCTTTCTAGTTACATATCTTCAATTAATAGTTACATTTTTGGTGGGTATTATTTTTGTTATATAAAAATATTTAAATTTAATTCTATTTTTTTGCATTTCCCCTCTTTGGTTTCTTTTTTTTGGTAAATATAGATGAACTTTGAAGGAGGTATAAATAAATTAATTCCCAATGCTTTTTGCGATATTTTTTGGCATCCGCAGGCAAATTCTGCAGAATTATAAGATTTTTAGCTATACCCAACTATAGTAAGCCTAAGCACTAAGAATATAATTCCGGTAAAATCAAATCTTTCTTTTTTTTTAGCTTCGTTTTCTTATCTTTCTACTACCACTCATGACAAATAAAAATGATTAATTTAAATAGATGATTTATAAAACGGATAAAGGATTTGTCTAGTAGTTCTTAGATATAATTTTTATTTTTTAATTAAAAAAACCAGTTCTGAAATAAGATAAATGAGAATTTATTAAAAATAGAATATTATTTAAGACAGAGATAACATTTTAAGAAAGAATAAAATTACGAATAAATCAAAAACAATTTAATAAAAATACATGGTAAAACGTCCCTAAGTTTTTGTTAGTAAGTGCAGAAAGAGACCACAACCCATCAAATGGGTCAATAAAAAGGAGATGATCGATCACCTTGTTTTCGAATCTAATTTTTAATTTTAAAACCTTTTATTTATTTGTTTTGTGAAAGCAACATTCACATGATTCAAACTTGTGTTAAGCCTCTTTTTGTTGAGATGGTTAATTTTGAACTCCTTTTCTACTTTACTCGTTAAAATAAACACAGAGGAGAGGGCTACCAATTCATGGTATATTATTTAAAAAAATAATAATTAGCAAACTCCATATTCACTGTGTCACATCGTGAAAGACAATATCCAAAATGGGCTGAAGTGTTTTGGAATGACCGAACCGGGGTTGAACATACAATATAGTGTGGCGAACAGAAAGAAAGTGAAATCTCAAGAGTTAAATATGAACTTAGTCACGTGGGGAAGAGGGGAATTTGTTTCAACAAAAAAAATGTAAATAAATCATTTTTAAAAAAATAATAACCTGTTCGCAAGCCTTTTGACACGATGAATATTCTGGAACCAAGTTACAGCATTTAGGATCTAGATAAAAGCAAAAAAAGAATACAATTTAAATATAATTTTTTTTAAAAAAAATGCAATATATGCATATTTATTTACCAAAAAAAGGCATGTGTTTCATTACTCTTTAAAATATAATTTAATCAAAATTTTATTATAAATAATCGGCCCAAAATCACAATAATTAGAGGGGGGGGAGGAACGTGTTACATAAGGCCTAAATATTATTATTTCAACGGCAAAGAAAAAGTGTATTCTTCTAATAGAATACCTTAAATGGGTTACATCTGAAACGTAAAAATAACTTTATTTTAAATGTGATGTATGTATGCTATGGCATACATTATAACGTCCTATATTTCCAACGACTAAAAAGTGCACGATTGCAACATAGTAGCATATTGCATCTGCTTTCTTTCTTTTGGGTTGGGCCCGAAACGCCTAATTTTTTTTAAAATCTTCATAGAAAAAATATTGTGGGCCGGGCCGGATAATATTTTCAAATATTTCTACGGATCGAACGTAGGGTTACCAGGTCAAAATTTCAAAATAACGGGAGAAATCTGGTCAAATTTTTTATTGAAGAAATGTGAAAATTATTTTTAAAAAAATTTTGCTGGCCCAGCTGAGATATTATTTTGGCCTCCCCGTATTCCTATAATTTTTACTTTATAATGCTTAACGTCCGTATCTTCTTGCGAGAGTTTTGTGGGATTGAAATCTCTGCGTGTTGATTAAAAAATTGCGGAAGTCTTCCGTTGATGGGGAGAGGGGTCTGGCAACCCTAGCACTGTTAATTTTTAATTACAAGCAAATCTGTGTTCTTTTACATTACATTTCCTTCTTATTTTTTTAAAACTTTTTCTTCTTTTTTTAAATCGTTTTTTTTGATGGGGGATATTTTTTCTTCTCTCTCCATAAAAATTTTCACGTCGTAAAAAATAAATTGAATATACTTTTTCAACAAATTTAATTATTTTTTTTTAAATTCAAAAATCTGATATCCTTTCCTTTTTCTCAATTCTCCAATTTGATTTCTCATTTTAAAAATCCCAAAAGTCAATTTTTTTATTCGTATATTCCACTAAGACTTTTACCACGTAATGTTGTGAAAAATCCAGAATTTAAAAACGACCTCGATTAAAATTTTAGCCAAAATAATATTGAAAGTCTCGAGATTTGGTTTATAGATTTTCAAACCTTTCTACCATCTTATGAGCTAAATCTCCAGGCCTACAATGATATTATTTTGAATAAAATCTTAATTGGGCCATTTTTAAAAATCGACCCAAATCGGGCTTTTTAACAACGCTACTACCATGAGGGAGTGGGGGGTATGATGAGAGATCGTTGTTTAAGTTGAATGGAAAGCGTGTCTATCCAAAAAACGAATACAAATCGAATAATTTATTTTCTGCATTCGTACGAATAATAAAATTTACTAATTATAATCGATTCGAATAATTTACAAATTTGACAGATTTATGGGGATTTTTTTTTTATTTGCACGTCTAATTTTAAACAGAAAAAAATATATAAATTTTCCTCGGGGAACATGTTGAATACAGGCGCATTGTTAGTTATTTGAGTTCTGCAGATCCCTTTTTGAAAAATAAGCAACAATTTTGGAAAATGGCCTAGTATCTTATTTTTCAAAAATCAGAATACGATTATTTGAAAAATCAGCACCCATTTAGAAAAATGCATATATTATGTTATCAATAATCTAAAACTTTCTACTTCTCCTTTTTACCAGCATGGCAAAAAAATAATAATATACAAGGATATCAATTAAAAAGTTATTTTTCCCTCGAATATATATCTGTTTAAAGATAAAACTATTCCCTTCCATTTTTTTTGTTCACGAACTGCCTTTCTAAAGCGTCTTAAAACATATATGCTTATAAAGGGACAGGAACGTTTAAGCGTGTATTTATAATTAAAGAAAATAGAATTTTATATGGCCCCCGCTTGTCTCTAATATTTATTAATTTCTCGTTTTTGCAAGATTTGGTAATCGGTTAACATGTCTGACCCACAGATACCATTCAACATACGATAAATTTTTTGCATCGGCATTAGTTAATATATAATATAAACTTTTTTTGCCTTTTATTTCAAATGATGAGCAACTTGGTAGTTTTTTTACTTTAAAAAGTAAAAAAGTTGCTGTTTTTCACATTTTTAAAACGAAATGCTAGTTAAATTTAAACAAATTTAACATTTTCTTTGGGAATACACAACGCTAAACGCTTTTAGCTCAATTTATATGTAACTATAATATAATAATATATATGTTAGCGTCAATGTGTTTTTTCCGGCTTGTTATTTTTTGAGCGCATTTTTAAAATTTAAAAACCTGTATTAGAATATCATGAATTGTAGACAATTTCACCGCCAACCTTTGACTCATTTATAATTTATATAAAAAAATCTAAGAAAAAACTAATATTATTAAGTTCGGAAGTTCATGGCAAAATTGTCTGAAATTCATAGGGTAGGTATTCCAAACGTGATGGAATACATTTCCCGTAAAATCATATAATTAGATTTTAAAAAACTCGCTCAAAAAATGATTTAAAGTTGAAAAGCATTGAGGAAAACACATTGACGCTAACAGGCGCGTATCTAATATGGCCAAAGTCTACAATAAGTGGACCGCAAGACTCCAATAAAATTTATGGCAGAACCCATCTAATAGCGCTCCCTTCCTTAACAAAATCCTGTACGCTAATAGTAGATCAATATTGTTAAATGGCTCCATTTTAAAAAACGGCTAGAACGGCTGGTTCAATATTTTAACTGAAAAATTTTACGCTAGCCTGGAGATTTGGCTCATAGATGGCAGAAAGTTTTGGACATCTACTAACCAAATCTAGAGACTTGTTTATACTTATTTTGGCCGAAATCCTAATTTAAAGTTAGCTAAAGCCGTTTAACAAAATCAATAAAGGGTAATGAGCAGTGATCTGTATCGGTCCTAATTTTTCAAGCCCGGCCCAAAATGTTTTTTTAAAATAATTTGTCTTTACCCCCATGATCATGAAAATTTTTTTATTTCTCCCGAAAAGCCCAACCCGATATAAAAATCATTTGTCCGTCTGACCCGGTTTGAATTAATTTAAATATAGAAAATTTTAATTTTTTATTGTAAAAAAAATATTCTACAAATAAAAAATGATAGCTCCTTGTTTCTTGCAAGAATTTTAAAATGTATCAATTTATTTGACAAAATTATTTAAAAATTTAAACCAGACCCGACCCGAAATTATTTTTTTAAAATAGACGCGAGGATTTGGGCCGGGGCATGATTGCCGATCTCTACTAAGAGTATCTGTTACTTAACATAACTAACTCAATGTATAAAATAGGGATATATAATGTAATAAAATTTCCAAAAGTTTATAATACATTTTTTTGATTTATGTTCCCATTATATTTTTCCCTCATTTTAATCTCTCTCAAAAAAAAAAGATCCAAAGAATATGGTATAATATAAATAAATAAAATATAATCATAAATAATTTCAATACTATAAAAACAAAAAAAACTCCCAAATTTTAAAAATGAAAAAAATATCAAGTGCGAACTGCGAAGAAAGCAAATAAAAAATATGAAATTTAATATGAATAAATAATGGAAAAGCAATCTGGGGTTCAGGATTATTTTGCACCAACTTAACTAGTTAACTACGTTTTATAACTTTTCATAAATTTCCACTCAGCAAAAAAAAATTAGAATATAAGAAAAAAAATTTAAAAATTTTTTATGAATGCGCGGTTTAAAATTTTGTAAAAGTTAATTTATTTTATTTTTTTAAACGTTTTTTTCAAAAGTCTTTAATATATATTTTTTTCTAAACTAATAAAAAAAATTTGGGAGGTTGTTATAAAATTTTGATTTTGAATAGTGTTGTTAAACAGCTCGATTTCGCCGATTATAAATTAAGATTAAGATACAAAATATTATTACGCAGGCCTCAAGATTTCGTTAATAGATGCTCAAACTATTATGTCATAATCTATGAGCAATATATCTAGACTTGCTTAATATTTTATGGTTATAATATTGGGTTAACCTTTTCAAAAATTCGAGCTGTTAAACAACGGATTAGCTTCTCATTTTAAGGCCCGAGTTAAAAAAAAGAAAATACGCCGCCCGGATTTCCATTTTATTCTACTTTTCATGCCCAGCAAGGAAGAATATTTTGATTTTTTTAAATACAATTTTGGGCTAGCCATTTTGTAAAACTATTTCAAAAAGGCAAGTTCAAAAATATGATCGTCAAAATGAATCTTAAAAATATAGTGATTTTTGTTACAAAAAATACCATGTCATGTCGGTAAATTATATAATTCTCCATACTAAAATAATTTTTAAAAATTGGCTAAGAAAAGGAATCTACTCTACATAGAGAGGCCAATGCCTGATGTAGGATAGTGGGATTGATATTAGTGATGTAAAATGGCTAACTCAATATTTGGAAAATTAGGTCTAAGCCTTGAGATTTGTTTAATAGATGTCCAAACCTTTATACAATCTATATGACCAAAATTTCTAAGCTTGCGAAATATTTTTCTGGATAAAATAATGAGTTAACCATTTTTAAGAATCGGCTCAAATGGAGCGATTTTGCATCACTGATATATTAAATGCTAAATTTTTATAATTTTTTAAGTTCGTTTTTAAGATTTATATTATTTGTCTCATTTGCTTGATTTTTATAAAACAAGTATATGAATGGGGTTAGTTCTTCAAAATAAGATACTTTATATATATATGGGTTTAAAATAGATTTTTTTTAATATGTGTGACTTTTAACCGACACCTACGTTCCGTATGTAACAATAGTCTTAAATATTTCATCATATGATTTAAACCAAAGTTACGGCCAGTTCTAGATTTCATATCTAAAAAGTTTTTTTATGTCCAGCCCGGATTTATAACACCATTTTACGGTCAGCTCCAGCCTGGCTCTTAAATTAAAATAAATACTTATATAATATAAAAATAGTATTTAAATACGGGGAATGTAGTCGTCTTTTAATTTTAAATAATGATTTATATTTTTTTTACCTTTGCCATAAAAGATATTTTATTTTAGGTAAAATATTTTTTTTTAATATATTCATAAAAATTGCCTATTATTATTTTTTTTAATATAAAAGACCTGATAAACAATAATTTTAATAAAATATTATATTATATTTTTAGCGGGGGAAAAGTAAAATAATACAAATCTATTTATCGCCAATTATCAACATCAAAAAAAAAAATTTTTGAAATTAAATTATTTTCTTTAAAAAAAAGAGATGATTTATATGAATTATTTGCTTAAAGCTTATGTCACCATTTAAAAATAAAAATGTGGATATATTCTGTAAAAATCCAAGACCAATGGCAGGTCCTATCTTTCTCCCAGCAAGATTGTTAAAAACTGGCCTTTGTCAACTGAATAGAATGTTATGGCAGTTTTTTTAAAATAGTTAGATACATTTTTACAAAAGTTATTGTAACATGATACTTTTCGAGTAATGTATCATGTCTAGATACATTTGGTATTAGTAACCAATACCGGAATCTAAATATATCACGTAAATGGATCGAAGTTTTTTGTCCTCATCTTATTAGCTTATAAGCATGGGCCTAAACTGTTATATATAAAGGATCTGGTTCATGGTTCAGGGCCAAAAAATTATAAAGGTTTCGGTTGAGTTAAAGTTTTGAAAAACTTTTTTCAATATAAAATAATTTAAATATATAAGAAAAATATTAATAAAAACTTTATATAGATAGAAAAAAAAGGGTTAAAACTAGTTCATAAAGATTATAAAAGTTCAGTTTACTCCTTTTAGCGATTAGGCATAATATTTCGAATATGGTTACAAAATAAAAAGGTTCGTTTCATTATAACGGCACCTTGGTTGGGCCAGGGTCCTAGAGGCGCAATGAAATTGTGCCAAATATCAGGGGGATAAATTCAGGAAGGTAACCTCTTAAACATACATAAAAGTGCGTATCCATTTTATATTTTAATCATTGGGGAGCCTCTGTATCATTGCCTTATATAGGACCTAATTGAGTGTTTTATAAAAAAAACAATTCCGTTTGCGTTTTTATTAATGCTTATAAATTGTGATCACTTTGCACGATACCAATTGAACTTAGTTCGCATTATTAAGATGGTTTAGAAGGATTTGGGTTAAGCGGGGCCATTTCTCGAGATTTTTTGAGATATTATAAAATGTTTTTGTTGTAAGCCAAAAAAAAATATATAAATATTTGGCACATAAATATTATTATAATAATTAATAAACATACACTCATGGGCAAACCAATGGAATAAAATAAATTGACAAATTAACTAGAAATTTTTAAATAAAATAGGCAAGATTTATAATTTCATTATTTGGTTTATTTATATGCCAAAATTTAATAATAAACAAGCTGTAAATTCCTATAGTATTTGGTACTGTACGAGTTTAATATATTAACGAAATATTTTAAGCCAAAAAAATGGACCAGATTAATTTTATCTGTAAATGAGTAAATTTATTTTTTATTTCTTCTAACAATTTTTCTTATTTTCCTGATAATTTTACTTTAAATTTATATGAACTTTGGCTCTTCTATTAAGGTTGTCACCAAGATCATTAAAAAAGTTACAATAGCTCATCAATTTACCTTCGAAACAATTTATAAAAAAATAACGCCAAAATTATTCCAAAATAACGAAATTTTATAGATTCCGGACAGGGCTGTAAAAATTTGGGGCAGACTGGTTCAAGCTTGAAAATTTGATCTCTTTTAAAAAAGAATAGAAAATATTGGAAAGGTTAAATAGTTAAGCTGGGTGTTCTTTTATTCTTTTCATTTTAAATCATTTATTGGGCCCATTTTTTTTTATTAGAAAAATTTAAACATATGATTTCGGGTAATATGTATTCTATGCTTATTGTAATACATTTGCGGCAACATAATTTTTAAAAATGGCGAACAATAAATGATATAAGATGCAAAAAAATTTTTTTAAAAACACCCTACCAAAATATTTATGTTTTCATCAAATTAAATTTAGGCGTGTGCCGGGTAAGCCATTGCCTTTCGTCAGCTGTTGCACCACTTGTTCTAAATCTCGAGAAAGAATTTATATATTTTTTTTTAAAAAAAATCAATGAGAATTATGGTTTAATTTACATTTTGTCTCTAGCGTCCGATAAGAAGGTAATAAATAATAAAATATGAATAATATCGAAAATCTAGGAGCTTGAAGATTGATGATTTGATAAATTGATGATTTAGGATTCATAAATAGAAAAGAATTCCTAGAGCTACTCCTCAATTTTTTTTAAAAAAATTATTTATATTTAAAGATTTATGTCTTTTTATAAAAAAAGGATTTCCTCCAATCAGAAGAGAGCGACATGAGAGATTAGATTTTATTTCATTAATTTGTCAATTTATAAAAGCTCATCATATGCTTGCTGAAAATTGATGTTTATTTTATTTTATTTGCTGCTAAAGTATTTTATTACTTAATTTTATTTTAATTAATTAAATGCTTTTTTTTCAGATATATAATTTTTTTATTAAAAAAAATGAAAAATAAAAAAATTTGTTAATGTTTTTTGTTTCTTTTTTTTCTCTTTATTTATTTATTTTTAATTTATTTTTTTTAATATTTATTTTTTTTTTAATCGTTTTTTTTAGGTAATTTTTTAAACTACATAATTATAATTTATTAATAACATACATATTGAATTTGCTCAAACCATTATAATTTTGAAAATTAATATTTTTTTTATTTAACCAATAAAAATATCTTAAAATATATTCAAAATTATATAACATAACATAATAAACTAACCCTTAATTTCAATTCAGTTCTTAAAATCAAGGACAAGCACAGAAATGTCAGACAAAAATACCCAATTTGTCAAATGCTTTTTTTTACCCAGGGTACTTTTGTCAAGAACATTTCTACCCATGATCCAATTTTGAATTCATAAATTTTATATAATGTGAGAAAAAAAAATTGAAAATGATTTGTTATGGATGGATAATATTTCTTCTGTCAAACCTATTAAGGAATAAAATAGTTCAATATTTTTAAACCTGAACTACCAATGTGGAATTAAAATAATGCCCCCATTTATATCCCACTTATGGTATTAGCAGGCGAATTGCCAGCGGGGGGAGAGGGAAAGAAATCTCACCCCCCTGTAGCAAATTTTTTTGAAAAAATATAAAAGGGCTCAGGTGGGTAGCCTAAGGGAGAGGGGAAGGAATCCTCCCTAACCATATAGCAACTATTTTTTAAAAAAATATAAAAGGGCTTCATGAATTTAAATTTTAGAGTGTATCAAATGTTCAGATATCCAAATAGACAGAATTTGCAAATAGCATGCACGACAAGATAGAGCCTTCGATATCCAGCAGTTACATCACTTTTTTGATCCTGGAAGAGCCAATATTGTATGCCCTTGGAGAAATATTAGAATCACTTGAAGCTGATACATTATTAAATTTAATATGACTGATTTTTTCATTGGAATGTATTATTAAATTATTTATTACACAAAAATTTTATGCAATATTTTTCAAAAAAATGGATTTGGCTGAAATTAGAATCGCAAATATTATTATATTACAACTTAGAAGACCAAGAGATAAAATCGAGGAATTTATCGAGATTAATGTGATTGCAGAGTTGTTAATCGCTATTTTTAAAAGTAGCGCGCTACCGCTATAGCTATTTGTCAAAAAAGTGCGCTATTAGCTACTTTTTCAAAGTAGCTTAGCTACTTTTATAAAAAATTTTAGAAACAAATGAAACAAATTTATTTTATTTTTTTTTTGCTTATAATGTAAATGTATAATAAATAATATATAAAAATCAACATTTATAAATATAAAAATATAGTTAGTTTAGATTATAAAAAAATAAGCAATATAAATAAATATTTATTTTAATTTGTTGCATTTTAATAATAATATCATTTCAACATTATCATCCTCAAGTCTAGAGCGACTATCAGAAAGTATAAGCTTTGCTTTACTAAATAATCTCTCGAAACTAGCACTTGAGGGCAAGGAAGCTCTAAAAATATTTAATCAGATCAATTTATAAATATAAATAAGTTTTTACCTTCTGTTATGTGTCCAACTATCTGCCGTGGTACATACATAAGATATATTTGATAACTCTACTATTAGAGCATCTTTCATCACTTTGAAGTTGTCGTCTATTTTATTCATAAGTGTCTGGCGACATAAAACTGTTGTGCCAGGGGATAAAGTTTTAATCATCATAGTAAATGATGGATTATCAACCAAGGACAATGGCTGAACTGTGTCAATAATAAAATCAACTATTACTTTATCAGCCAATTTTTGTGAAATATTGGCATGTTTATTATCAGTTAATTTGGTTTGGATAGTATTTGTCTTTTTGAATGAAGATTCTCCTGTACCAAAAATTTTTATATGTTTCTCTATTTCCTTATAGCAATTGGCGTGAACAGTCTAATAAAATAAATAATATTATAATGTAAAAATAACAATTTACCTTTAGGTGTTTCTTCAGGTTATAGCTACTCGATTGATTTGATGATATATTTTTTTTACATTTTAAGCACAGGAATTTGAATCCAGATTTTGTTTTAATATTTATTTTAAAAAATTTTTCAAATCTAGGAAATGGGAAATCGTTATTAGAGCTATTAAGTACATTTTCTTCCATTGAATCTTCCATGTCTGAATCACTTTCAAAAATTTGGATATCCATGGGCGATGCCATTTTAGATTATTAACACAGATTGAAAATATAAATTAAAAATCGAAAATATATTTAAATTTCCAAATTAAATAATAAATTATAAAAATTATAAGTAATTATGATATTATATTTAAATTTTCATGTTTATACTTACATTCATTATATTTTTTAAAAGTAGCGCGCTAAAAAATTAAATAATTTTAAAAAAAGTAGCGGCTATTAGCTATAGCTACCAAAAAAGATAGCGCGCTAAGTAGCGCGCTACAAGTAGCGAGCTACTTTAACAACTCTGTGTGATTGTTAGGTGAAAGCGTAATTATATGATTTTGACATTCACAAGTCTCGCCTTTACCGGCAGACAAATCGTTCCAATATTAACGTGAACTCATTGAAGATCATTATAAAATAAACGTTTTTGTTCCACTTTTAGATTTAATATTGACTCAAATCAATTAACGATTTGTGTCCAATTTACAAATACTATATCTCATAACTCCTTCTGATTTGAGGATATAACAAATTTTTATATTGAATAATTAAATATTAGGCTAAATTTTATTCAGAGGATATATACGCATCTAAAGACCAATTAATTTCAGAATTCAAATGGTATATCCTCCAACAAATAGAGTGGAAGCATTGTATAATTTAAAATATATTTTACAAGTTTTTCAAATATATTAAAATAACTGTATATTGGCAATGATACCAATTAGTACAAGCGCAAATGAGAGGACTTTTTTTTCATTAGAGGATTCATGATATAAACCTATATCAAAAGTAAGACATATTAAAATTGTTTGAATAGACAAGCGTTACTCATCGAGATCTAATCTCCAACACAGAACAAATTATTAAAAAATTCACCCAATCTCAAAGATGATTAAATTTTCATTTATGAAAGATATTTTGACTAACTTTTTAAATCATTATAAAAATTATCGTGATTTTACATATATGTTTTATTATATTCGCTCTTAATATTTTGTATTTTTCAATATTTTATTATTTGTGTTCATATCATATTTTAAAATATGATTGGTTCTAATAAATTTTATATGATGATTAGTTCTAATAAATTTTATTTGATGATTAGTTCTAGTAAATTTTTTATGCTCCAAAAAAATCAATTCAATTTTAAAAAAATTATCCCCCTCCTGTAAAAAAATTCTGACTACTGGTCTGGGTACTAGATAAAAGTTGGAGTGAGCCAGGGAGTATATTCTCCCCCATAGCAATTTGCTTGTTTTCATAAATAACATTACTCCCTCTCCCATAAAAATATATATAAAGAAGAATTTGAAAGAAAAATTAGTAAGAGTTAATAACTTTTAAAATTAACGGCTATATTACAAAATTTCGATAAAAAGCATTTTTATAATAATAAAAAGTGAAAACCCAAAATTATTTTTAGAAAAATTTAATATAGTCAAAGGCCTACAATAACTGGACCTCCAATAAAATTTATAGAAATTCCTCCTCTAATAGTACCCCATCCCTTGGATAAATCCTGGATACGTCTATGACGTGCGCCTGTCCATTAAACTTTTTGAAAACGTTTTTTCCCAGCTAGACAAGATAATTTTATATAAGTAATCCCGACTTGGCCAGGTAGTACATTTTATGGCATAAAAGGACATAAATCTGCCTAAATTGTATATATTCAAAAAATTCGCGAACATCAAGCTGCCGAGTCTCTAATAAATATTAATGTACAACTTATCTAACCCGCAGAGCCAGGTTTCTGAGCGGCGCCCACCCACATCTAGTACTAGATCACTAACACCTAACAATAAGCATAGTCAAGATTTTCCTTATAAGGTGATTTGGCTCTCCTTTAAATTTGCTGGCTACTTTTTACAGGAATAAGTCGCCCCGAAGTCTGTCCGCCTAAGATTTCGGTCGGTCTTGGACCAATTTTTATAAAAATCAGGGTGGAGTTTGGGCTAAAAAAAATTATATTCGCCATTATTAATTATAATGATTATTAATTTCCATCACGATTAGGGCCAAACAATTAGTAATTTTTTCATTTTTAAGAGGGGTGATGTAATATACACTTCAATTTATTACAGCGAGGAGTGATACACCCCATAATTTATACTCCTATAACATTTTGATGCACCTTCCTCCTTGTTTACCTTGGTTATTGGGGTTGGAGACAGAATAGAAGACCTGTAGAGGTCAAAAATTGTAGGCCCGACTTTACTTTTGATAATTTTTTTGATTCAGCCTGGAATATCTTAGAATTACCTTATTTTGAATAATTTTGGCTCGCATATTGTTTCAAATGGAAAACATCGTAAATATGAGCAGTAGAGATCTGCAAAGTTAGGCTCGGCCCGAGTCCGGCCAGGCCCGAATGGGCATCGGGCCTGGCTCGGGCCTAATTCTATTTAAAATAATCGGGTTCGGGAAGGGCCGGGCCAATATTTTTTAAAAAAGTTGGGGTCGGGTCGGGCCATGGAATTTTTTTTAAATATATCTAAATTTCTCAATTTTATTTTGAATTTTTTATGTAAAATAAAAATATTTGGTTTTATTTATTCAAACTAAACGACATATAACATATGTCTTTTATTTTGAGTAATTATAAAAATTAATTTCTATATTTAAATTAATTCGGGCCAGGC